AAGATGGAGATGACAAGTCTAATCGCACAAGTTTCTCCCATTTTGATCCACTACCAGGATTTGCGCATATTGATGGAGATGTTGGAGGTACTGGCTACAATGAGACCACAGTGGACATCGTTACCGTTCCATGCCCAGGAGCCGACCCAGTCGAGACATGGACGAGAGACCCGTTGCCTGATGGCTACTTTGGTGTGCCTAGCGACCAAGAACTCAGCCTCCATCCGGCCATGAAAGAGTTGGCTGGTGATGCGATTCTCTCGCCTGCAATTAACCGTCATCTTCCTAGAGCGGCACACCTGTGGGTTAGACAAGGCCTGCGCAAGGTAGCTAATCGAGCCAGAGTCATGCTCTATCGGCATCGGGAACTCGTTGATGGCCTTGCATTGGATGATCTGGCTCAAGACCTTCTGAACAATGTCTTACAGATTCGTGACGGGGAAAACAAGTCTCGTCCAGTATTTTTTATTGCCCACAGCGTGGGAGGATTGGTCGTCAAGTTGGCGTTGCTCAAGGCCAGACACGATGACAGATATCGTGGCATTATATACAACTGTCACGGCCTGACATTCTTCGCAACACCTCACCGGGGCTCAAGCTACATGTCTATGCCTAACCTCCGCGAAAGCATTCAAACATTGCTTCACTTGCAAAGACCTCTGCCCAGGTCTATCGCGCGAGACCTTCGTTTGGGAAACAAGGATTTGCTCAAGATCCACGACGAATTCACCAACATCGCTAGTGAGATGCGCATCTGGACGTTCTACGAAACCATCGACTCACAGCTTTCTGGGTCTGGCATGGGTCTTACAGATGAGGTGCAATTCAGCGCACCTTTGGCATCTATTAAATCGTCATTGGTAGGTGTCAGACAAGAGAATGTGTTTTCATCTCTGGAAAGCGACCACGCACATTGTGCTTCGTTCGGTACGGGAAACACACGAACAATGGGAACCTATCTGGAAGATTTGGCACTGGCAGTTGCGAAGGCTGAGCAGCTCAGCGCCAAATACGTGCACACACCTTTGAACCTGAAGGAGCACGTAAAGGTTGAGCTCATCGGGTTTTATGAAGATCCAGATGCTGAGATGGAGTCAGCCATTCGCTTGTACTTCACCAAGTATCACCTGGGCGAATTTCTTGAGAAGGGTCCGGAGAGGTGCCTCGAGGAGCGGCTTCGAAGTACTGTCAGAAGACCTGGCCCACGACCTTTCCCCGTGGGTGGTGATTCGACGGTCTCCGATCATAGATCGAGACCTGTCGGCAACAGTGGTTTGAATATCCTGACAAATGTGCAGAGGATGTTTCGGGCGGCCCGCTCTGGAACACCTCCAAAGGACACGGAAGCGCATCCTTCCCCAGACATAGTCGTGAACCCGCCATCAGCTCGTCCGTCAGTGGGTGGGGGGTCGAACTCAATGCCAGCTACTCTGCCAAGGCGACCTCATAGTCTGACTGTTCCGTCATTGGGCAGTCCTGGGTTTCACCGGCCATCTAGTCGAGCGAGTAGTGAGGGCAACGCCAGTACAATGTCTGATCCCACGGGTGATGAAATCTCCCCGAAGGATGGCAAAGGAGCGGACATGTCAGGCCACATTTCAGAGAAGCATTCTGCACAGTTTGACACGAAGGACTTTGACCCGACTACCAAAAGTCGAGTTGACAGACTAAGTAGAGCCTCCGCTTTACAAGACTTGACAGCAGGGTTCTCTCGCCCGAATCCGGACAGAAGGAAATTTATGTGGATTCACTTGCCTTTTACAAATCCGCCATGGGTTAAAAACATTTTTGACAAGCTCTCTGAAACTCATGGCCAGAACTTTGGAAAGCTATTCAACAATGAGAATTGGGTCTCAAGGCATGTTCAGGGACGACATTCGCAATCGCAGCCTTCCTTTGTGAAGCCAGCCTGCAACTATATCCCGGCGGATTCTGCTGCTTCACCACGACCGTCACCAGCAAACAGCCGCCCTACAAGCCCCGGAATATCACCGAGCTATATGTACCTCTACCTCCCATATTTGCATTTCGATACCTACCTCAATATCATCAAGAGACGTAATATTATGAAAAGACGCACGAGTCATGGCCGAGCTCGACCGGTACCTGCAGATATTGCACAACTTGAATCGTTGGAGATGCGTGTATTATGGGAATTCATGGGATATGACCCGCCACTCAACTGCCGTCGAACTTTAGACCAATTTGGATACCCATCTCTCAAAGACACGTAAGTTTGGTTCTTTACATATTACTCTTATCGTACATTGACTTGGAAGAAGCTGACTAGAGTATTAGATATGCACGAGACGACGATCAGATGCTGTACAAGCTCACTAAGGAGTCTACACCCCGTTTCCCAAGGACTATTCTGTTCCAGCCTAAGACAGACGGCAATGAAAAAACAATCGACACACGAATCGAGCGCTATTCTGCTGCTACGGCGAAAATTCATCAAATACAGGCGAAGTCAGAAACACCTGATGACTCAGAAGGGGACAACGAAGAGGATGTGCGTAATGGCAATCTACTCATGGTGGACCAACTTTGGTTGTGGGCTATTGATACTAGTAAGTTACCATCGATCTTCTGAAAATAACAACAACTAACAGCGGTAAGCAACGTTGGCCACTTTCTTTCCCAAGCGGGAATCTCGCCCATCCGAAGGCCCCCTGTTTCAGCAGGCAGATTTGAGAAACAGTGTCTACAACGAACTCAACGGAGACCTTACAGGACGATGTGAAAATGCTCTAGATCTTGCCGCTTTTGTTGCCCTGCATGCTGTCACTGTATTACTAGATCGATCATCTCACCCAGATCTCGAAATCTTCCGCATATTTGACGAAGCAATTGGCATGCTGGTATGTTGAGACATTGCTACCAGGACTCGAAGCAGTGCAGCTCACTAAGACTATAGACTGAACGCATGACATCATCCCTAAAACGCTTCCGTATGCAGACATTTAGAGATGTTAAGGCCGATGAATCCGATTCGGACGATCCTGAAGAGAACACAGCAAAGGCGATCAAGAAACGACATAGGAGAGAGCTTCAGCAGGCAGAGCGTGAGAATAGGGAGAACACGTCTGCATTGCTCGAACTTCGCGATATGGAGGACGAGCTTACAACCCTGTGGCGTTTATTTGAGACGCAGACCCAAGCGATTGACAGGATGAGGAGTATATATATGAGCGACGGTCTAAAGGATATCACGCACAATGGACGAGGGTACCTGACGGAAGCCCTTGCTCGTCTTGAGGAATACAAGACCCAAACAAATGAAATGTTAAAGCGAGTAGACACGACACGAAAAGATGTAAGTGGCACACTGGTAAGATTTTTAATGATTGAGGGCCTAACTCATGGTTTTAGTACGAGAAAATGCTCGAAATGGCCCAGCGTCAAGCTCAAGTTGACGATGTACGGTGGTCTCGTCTACAGACTGAACTTGCGAGTTCGCAGAATCTATCGATTATGGTTTTCACTGTTATGACAGTTGTTTTCCTTCCATTATCCTTCTTCACAAGTTTGTTCGGCATGAACACCGCAGAATGGGACGCAAATTTCCCCGATTTTGCTTATATAGGCTCAATCTCCCTTCCCATATCAGCATTTCTCATTATAGGCTCGCTCGTGGCAGCGTTCAGCTCTCGGGTTCAAGTCTTCTTCCTAACTACGTTCAAATACATACGAAAAATATTTGGGGCGGCAAGGGAGATAGTCGAGAAATTGGAGCCTGAGGCTCGGCGAATGGCCAAGATGAAGAAAAGGGAGGTCAAAGACGAGATGGAATACCAGAGTCGAAGAAGTAAAGAGAAGAGTTACGATTTCTGGGCAACGGTCCGGCGGCAGAGAAACTCAGAATACCATATCCCTGATCTCAACCGCAAGAGCTCCGGGAGACGCGGCATGACACCTAGGCAGACTTGGAAAACAGAAGCTTTGTGACGAAAGGATACCAAGAATCATCTTTTCCCTGGGGGATATATTCCTGATAGCTGTATCTTTGTATATCGACGGTACTTTGCTGAGTACCACAAACTATGTGATCAGAAAAGTAGATTTGCCTCTGTCCACAGATGCTTCTCGTGAGTTGAAAAGAAGGACATCGAGAGAGCCAACCAACTCATTTCCAACTTAGCTTTCTCAAATTCTTTTACAATAGCACTATCTTGGTGTTCACGCCTGATTGTAGGGCAACATTGTAAGGCGATTCGATGACCATCTCTATCTCTCGTAAACGTTACAAACTGCATTGCTTATGATTAACATCAAGTTAAAGGCTCAAAGACCGTTTATCAGGAACGGTGGGATCTTTAAGCCAGAAGCGGGATCACTCATTCCGACTTTGGCCTTCCTCCTCATCAAGCCGGCCTCTACGTTCAGCCTCGAGCCTCTCCCTATCTGCCTTTTCTCGTTCATGCTCTTTGAAAAGAGCCAACATCCCGAGGTCATAACAGGCTTTCAGGCTACCAGCGAGAATGAAAGCCACCCAAAAAAGTTTTTTGTCTACCAGAACACCGGTAATGAGAGGACCAAGGCTTTGAGCTGTGGTCTTCACGACCACAACCATCCCCATAATCGCCGTCCGCTCTTGAGGAAGCACAATAGCAGCCATAAAGGCGGCACGTGGTGCTACATCCATTGACGAGGTACAATGCCGTAGGATGAGGAACACGAGGGAGATATGAACATCATTCGGGACACCAATCAGAGCAAGGAATATTGCTGATGGCAGGTGGGTAAATACCATGGTCTGGTAGAGAAATTAGCGGGAGTCTTCACTTGTATTCTAAGAGGCCTTACATTGACATTGCCAAATCTCTTCGCTAGAGACGATGCCACAAGCATTGAGCCAGCAGATATGATACTTGTAGTGAAGAAGATGGAACCCAGCCTTCCCTCTTCAACACCGTAGTGTGACTTGAAGAAAAATGTCATCCAAGATCTACCGTCCATCATTAGTTGTCTGCCGTCTGTTTGTTTCACTTGGAGGTTACTCACAGAGAGGCAAGACCAGAAGCAAATGAGTCAACTGCGAATAAGAGGCAGAGACTGATCAAGATACTCCAGCTCTCCTTGCTGATCTCGGGTAGGAGAGCACGAATGCCTCGTTTGGGCTCGACCTCGGGCTGTTCAGCTACAGCAGCTGAGTTACCGTCGGCGTTACTCTCGCCCAGAAGTGGCGCTGTCTCTGCATTGCTAGTCGATAGCTTCTGCTGTTTCTTTTCGGCCTCAATTGCACCACTAAGCATCAGCGCAAGCAGAAGCTTGACTACTCCTAGCGCGGCATAGCCGTAGAAGATGATACGATATGCCTCGAGCTCCTCCCAATGGCGACTTGTCATCAAATAATGCACCACCCAGCCACCGGTCATCACGCCAAATGCTGCGCCGGCGGTACCTAAAAGACTGTACCAGGCATAGATGTCGCTCCTGTGCGCAGAGGATGTCAAGTGGCCTACCACGCTCTCCTCGATCGCTCGGAACGGTCCAATCTCATTTCCCGCAGGGCTGATAACTCCAAATACAGCTGCTGCCAGTAAAATCCAATAATTACCGAAAAGGCCGAAGATAACTCCACTTGCAGCCATGAGCGCTGCGCCCACAGCCAAGATGGCTTTCCGTCCTAATCCGTCGGCAAAGAGTGTGAGGACGAAGCTGATGCAGACGTCACCCCATAGAGTGAGGGTCATGAAAAGGCCAATCTTCGTTTTGGAGTGGCCCAATCCTTCGAGAAAGGCAACGAGAACCAATGTTGATGCGCCATAGGCGAAAAGTCGGACAAATCGCTGCAGACAAAGCAACTTGATGTCGCGACTCGAGTGATAGAGAGACTTGAGCCCCAACTCCTCAAGGCAGCGATGCACTATACCCTTATTTTCCTCAGCCATTTTGACTGATTCGAAATCTTAGAGTCGTGAAACAGTGTTGTTGATCCGGAGTAATTCAAGTCTGCGTCTCAACCTTCGATGGCGTGCCCCTTAAGTACCGTTTCCCTCAGTCCCCACCTCAACGACAAGAACATTCGAGAGGCGAATCCAAGTCTCAGAAGTCGTCAGACAATGACATGTAATTGATCCGTGTAATAGTGAAGACAGGGTTTTGATGCTGGAGATCAACAATATTAACTCAGCTGCCAGGCAGGTTTCGGGCGTATATCCGATTGCGCCGAGCGGAGCTCGGGCGGGACCTGGACTGACTAACGAGAGAACGGCAACTGGCTCAACAGCAACAAGGCCAGCGCTTGTGGAGAAGCAATTGAAATAGATCCGTTCTCTGGACGTTTAGTGATCACGGAGGCAATCCGAGACTTCCAACGTCAAGGTCGGTGAGCGGGGAGTATGGGGCCACTACCGCCCGGCCCGGGCGGCTTCGGTGGTGCCTAGCGGCACATCTTCACCATATTGAAGCACGTCATTGCTTCTATTTCAGGCGATTCACAACATCAACACGAGAAGACATATATATAAGATGCATATCTTGAGATGCATCTTCAAAGGCGCATGTTCATTCCCAACTGTGAAGCCCTATGTTGGTGGCAGGCTTGTACCTCCATATTACCGCTGAATTTGCACCTCGGGCTTTCTGTCCGTTCTCATACAGAACCGGACTTGGGTTGAGCTGTCCGGCCTCTCAGCCATACTCGTCTCCTTCCTGTAAAGTGAACAGTTGAAAATTGAATCCCGATTATCAGACGCACAACGAAAGCCGAGAGCCGGATCAAGCGTCCCGCGGAAATGCGATTGCCAGCCTGCTGCAAGTTGGATGCACCCATCCAGCGCCCCTGCTTGACAATGACAGAATGATTGCACGACAAGCGAACCTGGAATGAGTCTCGCTTTTCTGCAATGTCACAACAACGACGATAACTATGGTGCTTCTCTACGTCCACACACTCAGAGAAATTGCCGTTCATGCCCTCCATCGTGCCGTCTACGACAACCAAAAAAAATCTTCCCCTGCTCGTGACGTAGACGGTGTATTCTTTACTAAATGCTTAGATGATAGTTACCAGCTGAGCACTGCGAATACGGAGGCATGGCTCATCGCGCCACCCCCACGAGCCCTGGCACCCAGCTCGTGTTAGTAAGAGGAACAGCGCAGTACTTGTGCTGTAGGCTGCAGATACCCTCGAAAACAGTGCGACGGAAATTTTCTCCTGAATCGGTCCCTCAAACTCAGTTACTAATGACTAAAATGTCCTTGAAAACTGCATTTGTCGGAAAGACTTTCATGTACGATGGGGTGTCATGCGATGAGTATTGGTTCGTTACTACGGATAGCTCCCAGGGACGAATTGATCATGGAGAACATAGCAAGCTGAGTCACTGCCTATCATATCGGCAAAGTCCTCTAGACCAGATAGAGGTTTTGAGAAGAAAAAACAGGAAAGGAGTGCAGGCCGGGATCGTCCTGATAGTGGTGACTCAATGAGTTTAGCAATCCAATCTCACTGTGAGTGAAAGCTGGAGTATGGACACAGCCATGTTGAGTTAGTCCCAAAACAGAGAGTCTATCTCTCAAATGAAGCGTGCTCCTGCAATTTGGTACGTCTTCTCATAATCACTTTGATATTCACTCAGTGGAAGAAGGTATTGCTACACGCTGCCATTCTTGGACTTCCGGTTGCAAATGATGACATTCGATTCTTGGCTCATCTCCCAAGATCCAATGGTCCGGCGAAGTGCATCTATCGGGAAACAGCGGAATTGAACTTAGCAGGTGCAATTTGGCACAAGCGGATTCGACAATGGCGTAAAGGAGGTAAGACAGCTCCCTATAATTCAGTCTGGTGGTTGGTTCGGACCTAGACTGTTTACATGTCTCAGGCAAACGTACGTCAAACGTCATAGAGATCTTCCTCTTCCTGCGAGAGTTGCAGCATAAAGTCTCATGATTGTGATCACTTCGCACATTCAAAATGATCTGTCACGTCTCACGGAAGAAAATGCCCAACCTTGTCAGGCTCAGAGCTACATACCCAATGGAGAAGTCTGGGTAGAGTAGGCTCAAGGCTCAGCCTCATAGCAGGCGAGCTGTTGCGTTGTTGAAAACAAGTATTGAGTCTAGCTGATCGAGCGGCCCACAATGGCAGCCTTCTGTCTCAAATGGTCCCCGAGAAACGCGTCGGACCGTTTCTTGACGTGCAGCCACTGACAGGTGCCTCGGAGCAATGGAAGTGGGACAGTGTTACAAGACCGAACGCTTCGCCACGTGTAGAAACATTCCTGGCTTGCGGCTCTCAAAGGTCTCATATGAGTGGTCATCTCCTCCATCACCTGAGCTGCGATGCATCGCACCCTGACAGCTACCCCAACCGCTGCCCTGGGCCCTGGACGGAAAAGAAGCAACAAGAGCTCGGGCCAAGAGTGCGTGGATGGCAGTCCAATGAGGAATGCTCAAGAATCCTTCCAGCCACGTACAAGAGAGAGGCTTGGGGGGCAACATCAAAGTTAGCTGCTGCCCCCATCCTGGGGGTTTGCCTGTCTGATGACCCCCAAATCCGAGGGGGTTTCTCGACTGTTCTGGCCTTTGAATTAAGCTGCGTGGCGAGCCACCTTAGCATGCGGCGCTCACGGAGATCGTCCGGGTATTGGAGATGCAAGGGCGGAGCTGAGATGTGACACAGCGGCTCACTTCCTCGACTTCTCATGACTAATGGGTATCTTGGAGTTTCTTTTCCATTGGTGCTAACTTGTCCAGTCAGCAATGGCTTTGTCGGCAATGAGAAATCGTCTTGTAGTGGAACGATGTGTGAAGCGTTCGAAGTGGAGAGACCAACCTGCTAGCATTTAAGCAGTAGTAACCGCTTCACTTCAAGTGGTTTCTCCATCAATCAGCAGTATTCCGCTCCACACCACAACAGAAGATCGAGAGATGGCGCTCCTTGAAGTTGAGGCATTGTCAACCCTCGGCATTTCCTTCAGACCCCAACATAGCCACCGCCAGCACCGCACCGTACCGTACTGTCTGAAGACGCGGGGAAGTCGCACAGTGAAAATGTGGGGAAGCTGGCAACCTCCTCCGCTCCTGAGATGGCTTGCAGATTGGCTTGATGCACGATGTATGGGGTGCGTCTTGGAGGACACCCTCACTGGGGTTCAGTTCGCCGAACAGGTAGGCCCTCATGCCGCATCTCGAGGAAAAGTGCGGAGACTATGACTGGGAATAAGACTCTGTCCTCGGCCGCTCTACCTGCCTGCCCTAGACGACCAATGCCAAGTGGGGAGTTTACGCCTCTCAGCATCTTCTCTTCCATTGCGTCTTCGGGTGTTGTTGGGCATACTTACAGCTTAGCGACCCGCTCCAACAGATCATGCGGGCGAATTCACCCAGCAAGAGAGGCGGGTTGAGCGACGCAGTGACGTTGCAGGGCTAAATATCGCTCGAGTTGGAGTCCTCTAGGCTACATATTCGTGCGTTGTAAGACGTGAGGTTGTCGTAATGTGAAGGGAGCAGATTCCAGCTATGGGAGAAGTTGGTGGCATCTTGATTTAGATTGACGTCGTCAATCGAAATGAACCGGGTTGGAAAGCGTCGGGGAGCCCCGAGGCGTGCCTCTTAGTCTGCTTATCTGATGGGAATGGTTGTGATCCGAGAGGGGAGGCAACCAACCCAATGCCGTCTCTTCCATGCAAGTGGCTTTGTGGCTTTTGCTTTTCCGATCCTCTGGAACCCACTTCTCCAGGTTTTTTTGTCTTGACGGACCAAACCCCTCGACCCCAGATAGAGTGATCCGTAGTCGACCGAGTTTCGGGTCCAAGTACTCAAAAGAGCTAAGCCCGATCTTTTGAAGTCTAAACATGGAACCACGATCAGAAACTGAAGTCGGGGAGGAGTCAATGGGCTGACCTGGGCAAGGGAGTTTATTGAGAGGCCTTGCCTACAGCCCATCATAGTGTGGGGGTTGGACTAACAGCCCTCGTCGATCGCCCCAGGATCTAACATGACATGGCAAATTCAACACCACCTTGGGCATATGACGAGAGAAATTATCAGCGGTACACAATGAGTCAATTCGGGCGCAAAGAGGATCAAGCTGTGAATGCGAAATGTCGATCCCTCCTCTTCTAATAACCTCCGCTCCAACACGACCAACACCACCAGCCATCACCACCACACACGCAAACGGTCGTGTCCATTTTTTCAGGGTATTGCTGGACACGCAGAGAGGAGGCAGTGCCGCTTTACCTTTACAAGAAAGTAACACTCTGGCTGAGAGATAGCGTGCAAGCACTAAAACCCCTGCTCAGGGTTCCCTCTTCCGATGCAAAAGGCTTCGTATCCCAGACGGACTTGATGCCTGGAACATGCATCAACTGGTGTGTAGATGTAAAGTGGATGATGGGTCATCAGCTGAGCAGAAGGGGCATTGTTCCAGGGTCAAAATCCTGGGCAGTCTCTAACTAGCACACAGTTTTTGTTGTAGACAGTATCATCTCCGCTTCCCTCACACGGTGTGCATGCTACGAGAAATGCCATCTTCTCGTTTATTCTTGCGAGTATCTTATGCGGTGGCGTTCAGTGTCGGCTGCGAGGAAACGGTGAGGGAAAGAAGCAATTCAAACAACCATGTTCCGGGCGAAGGCATTATATTCTCCTTTAAGGCGACCCGACCCATCGGATTATCCGGTAGTCCACATCCAGACTGTCCGGACGTAACATTGCTTTTTCCATTCAATATCAAAAGGGGTTGCTCAGCCAGTCTCACCTTTTTGACAAGCATTCAGTCAGAACGAGACATCAGCAGTCCTGGTAGGAGTGGCTTACGGTACCTTTCTCGCCAAGGGCTAAGCTATCGTCTGTAGAAGCACAAAATTATGTAAAGAGATATCTCATCACGCGACCATTGAATGCAATATTGGTTTGCCAATATAGAATACTACATGGTCTATCTTATGCACCTGCAAGAAAATGAATATTAATAGGATGCAGGCTGGTCCGGACGCACCCGCAGATGAGGGGCAATATAAGATGTGCCAGAGGAGACTGTGTCTGTCAAAAGAGAAGGCAACGGACCTGTCTATGCTGAGCCTTTCTTTCCATTCATTTCTCAAAAGAATTAATTGTCAAAAATCAGAGCTGCTTCTTGTAACCTTACGACGCTGATTGCCTGAGTCCACTCACCGCCTCCAGCCATCACACAAAACCACCCGCGGAGGCAAAAGTTGACCCCCACGCCAGAAGAATCCAGAGCCATGCTGCTGGATTTTGGCAAGGTTCAGGCTGAGTGTGATGATGAGTACTGAATGAGATCTAGGCCTGGTGAGGATATGGCCTCAAAAGATTCGATGAGGAGCAGCAACTCCCGATTCTGCACCATCAAATTGCTATTGCATGGTATCAACTCCCCTTTCTAGCACAGCCTGGGTCCGTCTTTTTTTGTCTGCAATCCATACATACATAGATACCATCCTGATAGGTGACACGCCTCTCATCGCGGGGTAGGTTGTGTCTTGTCTCGCAGCCAATGCAGTGCTCCCGTCCCTGCGAGATCAATCGTGAGTCCAGGCGTATCAGGTTACGGTTGAAATTGTCCCGAATGGTGGTCTTCATCCACGAGTCCGAGCTAAAGTACGTTGATACTTCTGATCAAAGACGACAACAAGCTACAAATGTCGCGAAAACCGTCACCTGCCCCTCCTCCACGCGCCTCGATGGGTCCTAATGAACCACCCCAATTGCCCCAATAACAGCGGACGGCGTCCCCAGGAGATCCAATTGGCCAGAAGAAAGGATGCACAGCAAGGATGCCGACTCACCACAACCATTGCCCCCGTCCTGACGTCTTTGGCACCGTCTGCAATGACAGGGCGCTGTATTGACAACCAGGGTGTTTAAGTTGTCATCAATTGAAAACTCTCTTGGGAGCTCCCAGTTGAAAGCGTACACGCTTTGCCTGAGACGCACGGCTACTGCAAGTTCATACATAGATGTTCTGGCAAAGTCGGCACTGCAACATTATCGACTCGAAGCATCTCCGTAATTGGCAGCAACCCAATAAAAGTCGACCAGGAACATGCCCGCCTACGCAGACTGAGCAGAAAGAGACTTACAAAAGTAGAAGGTGGGCGAAGTAGGGATCAACTTCGGCAAGCCTGCCTAACCTGCAAGACTCGCATTCCCCTGGTTTACTTACTAGTGTAGATAAGGCAGTAGTAGTCACAATAACATCATTTAATCATTCATCTAGCCTGGTGCCTCGACCACCCGCCAGGCCCCTATCTGCACAGAGAACTCGGCCATGTCACTATCACCTGATGGCGTTCCAAGTACCATCAGCGATCACCACGCAAGCATTCGGAAGTAGTGGAACCATGACCTTGGTGGCGCTTACTTGGCCTGATGACCATCACTTTCCCGTTCCTGACGAGCACGAATCGGCATCACCAGACCTGTGCTGACAGCTGCAAAATCCCATCTCCCAATGATGAGCAGCCAACCAGGGCACTGGAAGGAATACCTAGAAGCCCTTGAAGTCTTCTAAAGCACACAGTGGGGCTTAGGGGCAACTTGTTGCTTAAAATTACCCTACACACAACTTCTCGTTAAAAGCACCATCTGTTCCTGTCGTTTACGAACACGACGAACGCCAAAAGAGGGACGCCGAACAAGCGGTGGGAGCCGAGTCTTGACACAAGCCACACACTGCCTCTGTTGGGCTTCCACGCGAGAACGACGGGGACCCACGCAAGTTAAAGTACGATTCAGCACTTCAATCCCTGCTCTTCAGCGCCTATCTTTTTGGGAAGATCTGCTGCGGCTCGCCTTTTCGCCCAATCAATTCATGAATACCACTCCAGGAAACCTGGTCATTGTGATGATGGCACAGGCACGCAGAAGACTAATGCTCACCACCTTATCCGGAGTATCAAAACAGACTTGACCGACGCCAGGCAACAGACTATGGTGCTTGCAATTGAAGTACTCGTACGCTACCTGCATTGTTTCAGCTCCCCCTGCTAAGCAGAGAAACCCAGGGGATCAGAAATGGCAGCGGCATCTTTAAAAGTCTACCGACACAAGGCTGCTGGCGGTCCGGAGGTTTCCAACCAGTAGTATAAATGGATATGAAGTCATCCGGCAATTGATCGGGGGGTTTTAATGAGGCTATGAACGACGACAGAGAAATCGAAGCCCTAACGAAGTACCGAGCCTCCAACCAAGGACATCGGAAAGCAGCCCTGGGACAATTTGCAATATTTCCAAGTTTGAAAGCACCGCGAGGCACTTGGTAAACCACACCGCCTGCATGGAACCCAGGGATGAAGACAATGACTATGAGGTAGGCTGGCAAGTGCCAAGAACATGCAGAGGTAGGTCACTTGGAACTTTCTGCAGAGTTCGGAGCAAGTCTCTTCCAACAAGGTCTTGCTCGCGACACCCGAACCATCACTGTCAAGTCTCCCCAATGAGACTGCACCTGCCGATTCTGCACGGCGATCCGATGACTGCCGAAAGTCTAATTCTCCAGGCATACGTGGAGGGCGAAGAACTTGCCACATAGTAGCTGAAGTCACAGGTATGGTTTGTAGTCGATTTCAGCCTCTATTCTGAGCCCGCTTCCGACAGAAGTTGGGGCTTACAGTTGGCGGGCCGGAAGCATGCTTAGTAACTGACAAGCCAGACTATCATAAGCCATAAGATGCTGCTGAGAATTCTGATACCGTAGATATGGAGCTGCAGGAAGGACTTGGCAGGATAGCGGTCGCCCTGTTCCGCTGTGCAGAAGTTGACTCCCGGAAACAATGGTGGGGGAGAGTTGAAAGCCCTGGGGATGTGCCCCCATTTCTGTCGGGCGAATGCTCAGTGGCAATTTGGGCTAGCAACTTGGTTACATTCTACGAGGCGCTGAGGCTGAGTGGGAGGTCTGATGGTCGCATGTCAACTTCTCTCATGCCAGTCGTAGGAGTGACTGTTTCATGACGGCCCAAGTATGCGATGTGCAGCACCATCGACTACCCGGGCAGATCGTGAAGACAGAACAGGATGTTCATGACAGGCGGTGGGCGTGTTCCTGTCCAGTACGCCTCCTCTCCCCATGCCGGCGTTCCTAGCTCAGCAAATCGACACCTGCCCATATTAAAGATAAATGCGCGTTGTATTGTTGAAGTTGGGAGAGCCTACTTCCCCTTGAGGCTAGACCAACGGATATACCCTGTCCCCAATTTTTCATGATCTGGTCAAGCTAACCCCCACACAGGACCACAATTTTCCCTTGCCCCACAAGGTGACCCCCCTGCTAGGGTCGACCGACCCCCTTCTCCGGATCCAGGTTGACTTGGTTGACTGAGTCTCCATGTTCCAAGTGTCAACGACACGCACTGTGCGTCTTGTAAGCCCTCGAAGTCCAGTCCTCACACACTGGACTGGTGGCTACCCCGGTCTAGCAGATCATAGGACGTGGGCGGTGCCAATCCCACTGCACAAATCACGATGCCGAATTGCCTTTCTCTGCTCATGCTCAGCTAGCCTGTCTAGTCCGCACGCGGCCATGCCATGCTCTTGGTCCTTAGGCGGCGCTCTTGATCCGTCCCAGCAATGGAGTCCGCCAACGCCACCTACCCGAGAAACGGTGCTTGACAGGGAGAAAAGCAGTGCCTTTTTGGCTGCGGTCACAGGACTCCAAGTTGTCGAGCCCCGATGTACGTATCATTCATAAGTCCCTTTCCTTGCTTCCTTCCATCCTCTCACAAGTGTGGACCTTTCCGAAGTCTACCAGGGAGACGCCTCTTCAGATTCAAATATATCTTCTCCCTCCTCCTCCTCCTCCCACCTCCATCCCATCCCTCCCACGTTGCTCACCACCTCAAGCACTCCTCCACATCTCATCCCACGCTCTTGTCAAGCATTTATATGCACCAGGCGCTCTTCTGCACCGTCACATACACACAATCCTGAACATGGCCCCGCACAATGATGCTCCCTCCCCAGCTGGCAGCTACACTGCCGGCTTCAACAGGATCCCCTTTCGTCCTGCTGCATCGTCGTCCCTCAGGCTAGGGAGCCTCACCCCTGCCGAGTCCGAGTCATCCCTCAGCAGTTCCTATGACAGCACCTCTCTAGATGCCGCCTTCCATATGGCCCGGCCCCTGGTACCTGGCGTCTACGTTCCCACCATGTGTTTCTTCGATTTAGATACCGAGAACGTGGACACGGCGACAATTGCTCGTCATGCTGTACGACTAGCCCGTGCAGGCGTCACTGGCTTGGCTACACAGGGGTCCAATGGAGAGGCAGTTCACCTTACCCATTCTGAGAGGCAATTGGTCACATCCACCACACGCAAAGCGCTTAATGATGCTGGCTTCTCCCACATGCCCATTATCGTTGGTTGCGGTTCCCAAAGTACACGAGAGACCATCCAGCACTGCGTAGAAGCGTGGGAGGCCGGTGGGGACTACGCCCTGGTACTTCCCCCGTCGTACTACGCTTCCCTATTCGCCCCAGCATCGGAGACGATCATGGAGTACTTCAAATTGGTTGCAGATTCGTCCCCCATACCAATCATCATCTACAACTTCCCGGGCGCGGTTGGAGGCATGGACCTATCGTCTGACGTCATCGTCAAGCTTGCAGCCCATCGCAACATCGTGGGCGTCAAGCTCACGTGCGGCAACACCGGCAAGCTCAACCGAGTTGCTGCTGCGACCAGAAAGATGACCAAGAAGTTCGACCCCAGCCAACCAGAGTTTCTGGTTCTTGCCGGATCTGCAGATTTCTCCATCCAATCACTAGTTGCTGGTGGACATGGTATCCTCGCAGGGCTGGCGAACATCGCTCCCAAGGCTTGCATCAAGACTATGGAATTGTTCAATAAGGGAAAACAATCCGAGGCACAAGAGATGCAGGAAGTCGTCGCTCAAGGTGACTGGACTGCTATCCAAGGTGGTGTGGTCGGCGTCAAGGCGGGCTTGCAGGCTTGGATGGGTTACGGCGGATTCGCTCGCAGCCCGCTCCCGAAGCCAACTACCGAGCAGACTAAGCAGTGGAAAGAAGGTTTCAGAGACCTGGTGATGCTAGAAAAGTCTCTGTGAACCCTTAGGATGCTGGCATCCGAGGCATATGGCAGGGCGCTTCCTGTCACCCACTTGACTGGTTGATGGTCATGCCGTGATACGGAACATCAAAATGGGTTCGTTGAACAAAAGGAGCTTCAAAAAAGTTGAATACTTTTCTCCCACTGCTATTCGCACGAGCAAGCGCCTGCATTGACGACATGGTTATCTGTTGAGGACTTTCAAAATGGGGTCTGGCGTTATCAAAACAGGAGTTCGGGTGCTGGAAGAGTGAAACATGGCGCTAAGAAAGACTGATTCTGGGAGAGCTTGACACAGTCAAATCATTTTCTTATTCCCCGCGACAATGGTTTTTGTGTGACCAGTGATCGATTTTTTTCCGTTCAGAATTGATGCACAGAACTCTTGTCTTGAGATCATCGAGGCCTGTCACTACATTTATGTGTTGTTGTAGTCCTCAAAGTTTGTATCTTGAGCATCTCAAAAAGCGGTCTCCTAGATTTCCTTCATTGAAGCTTTCTTGTACGGCCAATATTTCCTTACCGATCTGATATTGTGGTTTCTGGGATACTCGAGCTAGAATACGGATAATCCGATAATGGATCTCTGATACGAATTTTTGCACACTCGATTCAGTTTCTGTTGTCGTGTGTCTTTGTTGTTCTATATGCCTTATGCCCGCTCTTGAGAAATTTGACATGGCCAGGCATTTTTAGTATACAACGCCGAGGAAGAGAGTTTCGCCTCTACGCTGAACAAGAGACATGTCATTGTGACGTTGCAAGCGATACTGTCTTACGAAAGCATCTGATTAAATATCACGTCGATGCTGGGTAGAAGCGAGGCAGCTGGAGATCGTTGACAAAGGACTACACCACACCGATTCAGCGTTCTTGTGGAAAGAGGTTTCTCGAGCGAAGGTACGCAAGAATACGGCCGTCTTCGGCCGTACCAACTATCGCCAACGAATTTCACAGGGCTATTCAGCCGGCGATGAACCTCCTTGCGATGACAAACTCGTCAGTGTTTCAAACATTTTGGTATTCAGCTCAATACTTGATCCGGCATTTAATTACGTGCTTATACTTCGAGTGCCGTCAAGACAGTGCGAGACAACGAAGGCTACACTCCAACTCGAGACAGCAGAGCCGCCTCCCATTTACTGGACAACACCAGCACCTCCACTACCGTATAGAGAAGTTCGCAGTCTATTCCAGCAATCCAATCACGGCAGTCATGCAAGCGGGCGTCTTTGATCGCATGACCATGAACAAAAACCTGCATGATGCATACGCCCTATCTACTTGGACACGTTGTTCGTGACAGCGGGATCAAACCCCACGAGTGGATAAGTCCAGCCACGTAGCGACGAGTCTGATGACAAAATGCAGCCTTACGGATGAGTGCGAAAGTGAATGTGAAGTTCTAGCTGGGCTGAGCCGCCCATCCCGCGGGATGACAATACTTGATACCTCGTCTTGCAGGCGGTGAGAAAACCGGAATTTTTCATGGGTTCGCATTACGTGCCCCTGCTTGTTTTTGTGAGATGCCGTATTCAGCAACGGAACTGAACAGGGCAGCGAGAGCCTTGTGTCTCGCAGCATTGGTCCTCGTGTGACCAATAAAGGCTGTGATTCTCTTCTTATGTAAACTTCTGGAAGGCTCACCGCTGATCAAAATAATAGGCCGGGAAGGCTTTCGGCCCTTCATGTTTGTACCTTGACTTGCTTCTATTCTTCCAGTCTCACAGCTTCCCTTGACGCAGATGCCCACTGTCTGAACATTTATCACTCCCGACTCGAGAGCCGTAGAATTGCCCATTCGAGCGCAATACATGAGTCAGGTCACGCCGAATGCGTTGGCGTCTTCCATGTGGAGGCAGACCCGTCCTGGTGGTGGCTACCTGCTTCTGATGGCCGACGGCAAACCGCATTGCAAGCGTGGGATCCACGCCGCTTTGCGGCAAGGCAACATCACGATGATACAGGCGGGTACCTAGTTGTTTGTGCGACGACGCCGTGCTTGTCGCGAAAATCGGCGGCGTTCCCTTCATCCAAGCCAAGCCAAGCCTACGGTTACGAGCAGTTTGCTCTCCGCCGCCACACCCATGTTCTTGGGACGTGATACCCTTTCGTACAGTCTTCGTTCGTCACGCAGTGGTGACTGTTGGAGTGGTCCTGCCGCGTAATGATGGCACAAAGTTTTGGTGAATTGTTACAGCACTGGTCGTGTATGGGATCACCGACTTGCTCGCTCTAACAACAACCTCCACGCATCATCATAAATGCGATACCACTTCTCCTCTACTTTCTCGTTGGCACTATCACCAACTTTCTTTCTCGCTCGTTTAATCATATTCGATTTCGTTTCTCGAGGTCATTTTGAAGCCAAGATGCAGCTCGTCTTCATCATCGTTTTAGCCATTTCTTCAAGGATATTGGCGCAGGCGCCGAAAATTGCGGTCACAGGCGTCCAGACTGGTGTCAACCCAAACACGGGCGCGAGGCCTGCAAGAATGAATATCAACGATCTGTACATCAGCGGTGGTCCAGCATGGTCAGTATCACTGAGGCATGTGATCTACAACAATCTTATGTTTATCCTAGGGACCTTTACATACAGGCGTTATTAGAATTTCAAGCCGTTAACGAGACAGATGAGCTCTCATATTTTAAGATTATGGGTGGGTATTGGCTCAGAATCTTGGAGTTATCAGTATCAGCTGCTAAATGCTGCAGGCATTCACGGACTTCCTTATGAAGCATACAATGGTGTTGGACAAGTCCCGGGTGGCGCAAGAACTGGCTTTTGTCCTCATAATGTAGGTATTCCGAGTATGTATTGATCGATTGCAGGCGTATTGACAGAAACCCTTCAGGAACTTCTTTTCGGCACATGGCATCGTCCTTATGTGGCACTTTATGAGGTACGTTTGATCAACCTATTACTTGAAGCATGGATCATCTAACTGAAATACAGCAAACTTTAGCCAAACATGTACAGATCATTGCTAAAAGGTATAATGGAGAGCTCTCAGTGAGCTACTTATCTGCAGCTCAGAACTTTAGGGTGGCATATTGGGATTGGGCGGAGGACCCGAGTCTCCCATCGGTTGTGACTATGGCGACACTCAGCATCAATGGGCCTACTGGGACAATGTCCGTTCGCAATCCACTCCACAGCTATAAGTTCCAGAATTTCCCCTTCAATATCTCTTATATGAATTCTGGTGTATTGTCACGAGATAACGAGACCAAGAGATGCCCAAATAGTCTCGGAGTAGACAATATCAGTTGGGTCAATGGAAATCTATCGCTACCAAGTGCAGATCTCAAAGATTCAGTGGTAAGCTATGTTCATGACTTGGGAAGATTTTCTCATTATCTCTCTTCTGAACTGAATCTGGAGCTCACAGTTCGCAGTACAAGGCATTTACAGCTGTCCAAGCTTTCGAAAACATGGAGTCGTCTAAGTTTCCTGGATACGATTTTGAGAACCCTCATAATACTGTTCACAATTCCGTGGGCTGCCGGAACGGTCATATGTTTGACTTGAATTGGTCGGCGTTTGACCCAATATTGTATATCATCCCTCTTGCTGGTATTGTCCAATTACTCACGATTGTCCACAGTATGCTACACCATGCTAACGTAGACCGGTTGATCGCGATGTGGCAAGCAATCTATTATAATCAGAGCATGTTCAACATCACATCTGAATGCAGTGCAACCTTTGCCATGCCAAAAGGTGAGGTTAACGCGAGTAGCCCCCTAAAGCCCTTTTTCGACTCCAGCGGCAACTTCCACACCAGCACATCGATCACTCATATTAAGACTTTCGGTTACACATACCCTGAGATCAACGATTGGTCTCTATCTCCCGAAGAACTTTCGACGTACGTTAGGACACGAGTGAACAGATTGTACAGCACCGGCCGTGGAGCATCCAGACGATCAACGCGACATCAGTATCGTTCGCCGGCGGTACTGAAAGACTACTCTATCTTTATTAAGATAAACAGGTCCGAGATTGAGCTTCCTGCCTCGATAGATTTGATTCTTGACAATCAACCGGCTGGAAAGATGGTACTTCTCTCCATGCCAATGGACGGCATTAGTTACGCCACAATTCCTCTGGACAGGGCTCTTGAAGTTGCCAACAAGAGTGTCAAAGGCCCTTTGATAATCATGCCTTACTTAAACAAGACCTTACGCATTGAAATAAAAAAGGCAAGTCTTGGTGGATCTCTCTCCACGGCGCGTTTGAATTCACCCTGCTGACCATTCTCAGGGCGACGGCACTTTGATCCCCATAGAATCTGTCCCGAGTCTGACGATTGATGCACAAGCGCAGGACTTTGTCCCTCGCACAGAAGACTGTGAATTTCCGGTCTACGGTGCTGTTACTAGAAGGCCGATTGTGACACGGAAGGGCCATTATTAGACTCAGTGTCTCGGCCGACGGCCTTGTCTTACGATTTCAATTTGAATTTGTACAACGCGATGGACTTTTTATGACATTAAGAGAGCCTTAGCTGTGTAACAATAGCCATCGGACTCGACTGCTTAGGGCTTTGAGTTGACTTGTATCACAATTTCCATGCAGAAAGCACGACATGTGCATGAACGTTGTTGGCTTAATCAATGTTGTGTGATGTCATTACATATGAATATGGTCCGTCTATGCCGGAAACCGATCCTCTATATACCCATTTAGTCGTTGTGTGTTCTAGCCCACTTGGCCGCTCTATATGCAAATATTGACGATCTCTAGAATGCGGTCGCATCTCAACTCTAATATTGAGAAAGTTCAAGATCCAGTGATCTTCGCGTCCACCAACTCTAATGTCGACTCTAGCTTGGGTAAGATTGCCCAATCAATATCTAGCTGTCGACTGGTTCCAACTACAACAGTTCTTCTTTCACATAGAGCTGGTGAATAACGGATGTGTCCATGATACCACATCCATTGCCGCCTAGGGGCCATCATTCTTGATCTTATTCATCTTCACACTTCAGTCCATCGACCTAGTGACGTCCATAGTGCTGCTTATTCCTTTCATCTTCCTCACGCGGCACGGCCATCTCCATACTGGCCGGAGTGGATATGACTTGGGGCTGTAGACCAGATGGGTACCACACGAAGTAGACGGCCATGACGCCGAACATGAGGATTGAGTCAAAGACGTACAGCGTCCACTCGTGCTGCAGCAGATATCCGTCCGACCCCATGACATACTCGATGACCCTGAAGATCGATCGAATCATGATGAACACACTGACGATGTACAGCATCATCAGGAGGCGCTGCCAGGGGAGCTCTGCGGCTGTCGGTCCCGAGTGACCGCCGTAGCTCGCAGTCACGGCACTCTTGGACCGGTATCGCAGGTGGAAGATGATGGCGGTGACACCGAAGAGGCCGAACCAGATGATCTGGATGACGAGGCCAGCGACGACGATATTCTCGCCCGTCTTCATGCTGCCGTCCTTAACCATGAGGCCGGCGCCGCTGGCCTGCACCAGGAAAGAGAAGACATCGCCGATGACGAAGATTGTCGTGAGCCAACGCGTACGGATAACTGAGCAAGCCTCGCCGCCGGGGAGTGCGCGGATAACTCGGCCTAGAACCATGTAGATCGTTGCGGCGTACAGGGCTGGGGCGACAAGCAGGAGTACGGATTGGAGCACATAGGGGATGAGTTTATCGGTTCTATCATGTGCAATGGCTCGGAAGATGTATCCTATGGTTTCAACTGTGCGTTGGGGTTCCGCGTTAGTTCTTTGCGCAAAGGTATGGCCTGGACGCCTAGTGGAAATAGAATGTCGGAGGCGAGACTTACAAATACCGCCTATGAGGAAAGGAATGCAGAACCAGAACCTGTTACGGACCATACGCCAGGCATGAAGGGCTGTCAACAGGAAGAAGAGAATGGTGAAGATAATGCCCCCAGGAACCGATGGCAGATAGTGCCATAGGTAATAACCGTTCTTGTAGGGTAGTAGCTTAGCCATCGTCTCTAGTGATACCGTTGTATACTATGTCGAGGGTCTTCTATTCGTTCTCGTGTCCAGTTGAAGTTAGACAAGGAAGAGTGAAGAGCGTTGCTGGTGACAATGTATGCTATAAGGCTGCCACCCACTGGTGGGATCTCTTGGGACTTATACCCCTGGACTGATAATATGTCCGCGTAAAGAACTGAGAACATGACTTAGGCAATCCGCCCATTTTAGTTGGTTGCAATTTGTCTGGATCAACGAGAAATCCTTCTTATGGTCAAGGCACCGCGTAATACGTGTATACAATTCAACACAATGCGCCCGCTTCGGAGCAAGGAACCGGCACCCAGCACGGCGTCTACGACGGATTCTGTCACGGAGACTCCACTCTATACGCGTATACTGAAATGGGGGGTGTACTCGGCAGGACCCGTCTTAGCGGCAACCAATCAGCATCGCATTCATGAATCAACCCTGAATCGTTGTCGTTAGCTGGATCTTCACTCAAAGTTTGGCTAGAGTCAGATCCGAGACAGAAAGAAAAGCTTTGCCGACAGTAGAAGGTGACTTTGCGTAGGATACACAAAACCTACACGTTCAATGTGTGGCTGAGTACTGCGGCCTGTTGCTGAGGCTCAGGCCATCCTACCATCCCCTTCAGCCTTAATGGACCCAAACCATATGCACATATTCTGTAAGCCAATAAGCAATGGTTCCGAGAATACGAGTAGCTATAGCGGCGCTTCATATTTTCGGCTGACAATTCGCGGCATCTTGAGATTTGCTTCTCGTGTGCGTCGTCATCACCAATGCAATATTGATGCAATGACAAGTTACTACATTTGACAAATTGCGCTGTGTATCATGACAAAGGTGCACATCGTGATAGGCTGAAGAGTGCGATAAATATCTAAGGAAAGAGATGTAAACAAAATTGCACTTACCTACTCCGGTGAAGCCGTGCCCCTGAGGCGCACATGGCTGTAGGTTCGCAAGCTCGAGTAGGTTGAAATAAGCTCAACTGCCGAGCCCTATGGAGCGTACTACGAAGAAATCTCAATCAATCTTCGTCATTGCCCCCTCCAAAGCACTGATCACAGTATGTTTTGTCAGTGTGGGACGCGTCAACGACCCCGTGGCAGGGCTGGGCCGTCTTCTTGGTCTTGTCGCAGTATACCCATGCCACGCTGCGGCTCGAAAGCTTCTTGTTGCATACTATGCAGACATATTCCACATTGAGCCTCTTACACATATTGGCCTGAGGTCGAGATGATCAAGATGATGATAAGTGTTTAGTGGTAGTTTGTTCCTGGTTATATGGAAGTCGGTCCTACCTGTCTCATGGATGGACAGTCCAGTTATGCATTTATGTACCCGATTAAATGGCATTGAGAGCTTCTTTGACAACACTTCCTTTGTCACTGAGACTATTTTGGCTGCATATCTCGAGAGTGTTTCTCAAAGGAGATGGTCATAAATGCATTGGAAGATTTCTCGGGCAGGCGGAGCAAGTGCCGACCAGCCTCATCTCTTGGCGGACAAAGGAGGCTAATGGGAATGCTGACAACAATACGTCCTGACAAAGAGAAGGAACTAAGAGGACAAGATGAATGCGTTGTGATGCTCAACGTCTTACGAACGGCTCCTCCTTTCACTAGTGGTAAAGTCAGAGCCGCTAGAAGGGCTCGTTCCGAGAGCGAAGTTTCGCTCTCGAGATGTTGACTCAGGCACTCGAGCCGATCGTGCAAAAGTTAAGGTATCGGTGGGACCGATGATAGAATCATCAATCGTAAAGATAAAATAACTGTATCGTCGTTCGGATACATTCTTCATTCGACAAATGCTGCTTTTCCGACACTTTGGCCGGGATTGCTCCTGGACATTGGTCCGAGCAGGCCGGCTGACTGCGTCCTTGACTGATAACTGGCGAGCGCCATGAACAGGCCGCTGAAAATCGATGTGAGCACTGACGTCTGGTGATTTGCCCACGAGAATGCCTCACAGCATGGATGTGACCTCAAAGCATAGGCCAGTACGCGTCCGTCACGGTTGAAGGCTGAGACAGGAAAGGCGAGACGGTTTGGAGGTAACATTGACCCGGAGCCGAAGAGATCGGTGTTGAAATGCAAGTGCTTAGCGGCGCCGCCAAGCCCGGAGCATACGTAAAGTCATCAGTGGCGCAGTGGAGCATACCGGCCCTTTGCAACCCCCTAAGTGTGCTAACCACAGCTAGAAATACAGTTGACATGTCTACCTAAAATTCTGTCGATGACGGCAGGCCCTGTTGTGAACTATAATTCCACGACACAGCTTCTGGAAGACGGCCGACTACGCGTATCGCCATGTCTCGTCGTTCTTCAACATACACAAGTCAAGTGCGCTAATACAGAGATTTTGCCTTCTCGCGCACTAAGTCCCGAGTTCATGTGGTCGCTCGGACCGCGTCGCTGTCTCGTCACAGTCACAGGGGAAGAAGGAAGAAGATGCGCCGCACGCACAAGAAATCGCGGCGGGGCTGTCTAGAGTGTAAAAGGAGGCACATCAAGGTATTTTGTTTGCGGGCCCCCTGATTGGCTGCTTGCTAATGCGATCTCGCTGCTTGACTTGTAAAGTGTGATGAGACTCATCCATCATGTCTCAATTGTTTGACTGCTGAACGTGCCTGTTCCTACCCGGAGCGCGTCGCTGTTGGTAGCGGACAGCCAGTCTCCAACAGCCCGACCACCTCGGCGGAGGTCCCGACGCCAGGGCCAACGACTCCGGAGAAGGCATCAATCTTTCCTACAGACGACTTGGCGGAGCTGTCTGTCGTGAACATGTTGCACATGGAGCTGTACAATCATTTCACCACAGAGGTCTACATGGCATCCCTCAACCCCGAAATGGCCAAAATATCAAAGGCCCTGACCATAAAATGTGCCCTTAACACGCCATATCTTATGCATCAGATTCTTGCCCTTGCTGCGCGGCATCTCAGTATCCTGCGTCCAGAGAAACAGGCGCTCTATCGGCATCAAGCCATCCAGCTACAAACGAGTGCACTGAGCTTGTTCAACGCGCAAGGAGCTGCGGTCGATACAGCGGACCGAGTGCCTATGCTGCTGTTCTCATCCATTCTAGGGCTTCACGCGCTATGTGACATGTTGTCTGTTCGAGATGACACTTTTGAACAATTCTATTCCAGATTCATGAGCTATTTTCGATTACATCGCGGTGTTCACAGTGTCATTGGGGGCTCCTGGCCTGCAATGCTGGAGTCAGATCTGAGACCGATCATAGAACTGGGATCAGAGGCCTACAGGGTCGAGGGCAAAGGGCATGAATGTGACCCTCTACGTGATCACTTCCGGCTTGCAGGTTACTCTTCGCAGGTCACCCAGGACTGCGAGCGCTCAATCAGCCGCTTGCAGTACGTTTTCGACGAAGGGGTTCGGGGCAATCTCCGAGCGCATCTTGTTCTCTCGTTCCCGCTCTTCATACATAAAGAGACGGTCGAGCTGGTGGAGAAGCAAGACGAAAATGTCATTTTGCTGCTGGCATACTATGCTGTTGCACTTCACTTTTGCCGGGATACATGGATCATTGGCGAGGCCGGAAAGTATGTGTTTGATATGATGGCAAGCCGTCTTGGGCCGGAGTATGACCATTTGCTCGAATGGCCTCGCGAGGCTTTTGAGATGATCATATCGTCAAGTGATGCTGAACCCATGGATTTTTTAGATCCTGAGCTGAGCACAACGTCAAATCTACAAGAGAAGGAAGATACTTGAAGAAGGCACGGAGTCCAAGCAAAATCCGGATCAAAATTCAGTTCAATGGCGACTATCTTGATACTCGTGGGAGCCAGCCCAACGAAGTGCTGGGACCATTCCAAAATCGAATATGACACTCATGTAAACTCATCACAACCATAACTGTCGTTAATTCTCGTCACGCCACGCACACGCCATTCGAAGGACCCTCGCAATTGTCCCGAATCATGCGCGCCAAATCAAAGGACGAACCTATACCCAGATGTCCCTTCCATCTCTGCTCCGTGGGGTTCCGGGTCTCGCTTTAAGTCCCCGCCCCTTTCAGCTGCTTCCCTTTGCGCTGCTACCTCGGCGGCCTCGAATTGGTTGTTCCTCCAAGAGAAGTATGTCCTGAGCGAGATGGCCAGCAGCGCATTGAAGAACATGAACCCTGCGCAGATAGCCATTCCCTTGACATAGTATGGCTTTTGGGCAACTGGGAAGATGCGCGTGCCGAGAATGGGACCGCATTGCCCAATGAGGTTGAGCATGGCGATCCCGACGCCGCGCTTGGTATCGCTGCCCTGGTTGTTGAGCACCCAGGGCAGGATATTGGCGATGGCAGGGAAGACACCGGCGGCCGCGAGGAAAACGCCGAGGTAGCGCACTCCGACGCTCTTGACGGTGGCAAGGAGGATGTAACCTACGCCGCCCATGATCGAGAGCCCAAACACCATCAGCCCCCGCTGTCGGGTTCTGTCGGCGATCCAAGTCGTGAGGATGCAGACGAGGAAGGCCAGGAAGTAAGGAGGTGCAGTGAGACCTTGCGCATGGATACTGGTGAAGCCCATAGAGGTCAGGATTGCCGGGAGGAAAACCGGAAGCGAGGCAAAGGACACATTGCAGCTGAAGTACATCAGGGGCTGGATGAGAGTCTGGGGGCTTTTGAACGCCTCGAGGACTTCTCCAAAATGGATTTTCCCCACTCTGTTCTTGCCTTCTGTTCCCGTTTGTAGTATGGCCCGGGCTTTCGCAACCTCGATCTCCTCGTCTGTGAGGAACTTGGCAGTATCAGGGGAGTCGGGCAGGAAGAGGAAGACTGCAATTGCCAAGATGACAGTGGGTATGCCCTCGACGATGAAGAGCAATCGCCAGTTCGCTATCGATGCATGGCCGGACGTGATGCCGAAGGCGAGGGCCCCTATGTCACGAATTAGCTTGTTTTGATCGGATGGAGGCCGAGAGGTGGACATACCAGCGAATGTGGTGGCTAAAGGGGCTGCAGAGAGGAAGATGCCGCATCGGAGACCGAGCTCGTGTCTCCTGTAGAAAAAGCTTAATAAATACGGGACGCCCGGAGCGAACCCTGCTTCAGCCATCTGCATCCATATTTAGCTTTCCATTTTGTTAGGAACGGTGCCTATGTACGGCACTCACAGCAAGAAAGAAGCGAGCAGCCATCAATCCCTCCCAATTGAACGCGGTGGCTTGAAGAGTTGATGCAATACCCCTAATACACTTGTTAGCAAAGGATGCCCTGAACATGGAGCTCTACAAGTGCAATACCATGTGAGGACAGTTACCCCCGCCCATATATCTTAATTCATGTCAGCCATCCAAATACCATTGCAATTGAGAGCTCACTCACGAGGCGGGATCAGTTTCCACATCAGCGCACACCATTCGAAGACGACTGATGATATTATTAGATTTTGCCAGTTTATTCGCTGCTGTGAACTTACTATATGGGATGTAGAAGATGGTCAGAAGCCACTACAAATGATATCAATTTACCCCTCTTCTTTTTGTTTCATGGGGATTTAACCGACCTGATAATGAGAATCATCAAACCCCAAATCTTCACTCATGCCAGCTGTCTCTGCATTCCCGATATTGGAACGGTCAAGGAAAGCGGCAAGGTCTATGTAAGATCAGTATCATCTGTGCACTGCAGTAGACTCATGGACGGGTGACTAACAAAGAAGGAACACAAATGTCACGACAACTCGATCCAGCTTCCGAATTACACGCTTCTCAGTCGCTTGGTCGATTTCTACTATACGATAACCCTGCGGGGGCTCCGGAGATGTCCCGGTGTTAACCCCTTCAAATTTCTCCTCGGTAGGCTTCATATCGTTCATGATGCCGACAATCCGGCGCCCGTGAGTTGAGAAAGAAAGGAAATGATCGAACAGGGGCTCAGAATCAAGCGGTAAAATGCAAGTATCCGCATCGTAGGAACTTCACTTCTTGAGGGCGGGATACCAAAAATCTTTATACAAAATGACGATGTAACATACACTAGTCCCAGAGCTCTCGTCCGCGAATCGATGTGCACAGAAATCCACCATCTACAGTTAGCTTGACCGCCTGCCTGCATGCGTACACGTACACACCAACTCCGTGCCGGTATTCGAGGCGGGAGTTTCGGTATGTGTGTTTGTGTGGGACTGATGCTACCCCGCGATGTGAGAAGGTTTCCACATCCATGACGAGCACGAGGGGGAGCTCCGAGAACCCCGGATAGTCAACTATAGCAAGCAGAACCGAAAATAACTAAAAGCTTACTTCTCTTCATATGCTGATGCCAAGGAGAGGCAGTGCCTTACCAGATAAGGAATCTAGATAGCCTACCTTGCCATTTCAACGTGGTCAGGGGCGCTGCAAAGCTCTGTAGGCTTCTGTCCTCCGCGGACGATTGCCGGCGGAGCTTGAACCAATGCTTCTGCTTCTCTCGTAGAAGTTGAGCGTCTCCATGTCCCCGATTGCAATTCCCATGTTATATCCACACACAACTTTTGTATCACTAGTTGAGAAAGCCGGGGTGCACCTTGAGGAACCCCAAAGCTCGCTAATGCCCGATAAGCTTCGCGGAGGAGTGGAGCTGACCCGGCACTTACCAAGCCCCCAGCCCCGCGCCGCACAGTGACGTAGCTCCGCCCGGAGCGGACGGCCAAGGCCGCAGAATGCCAAAACACCAAGGCTAGAGGCTTTCGTGAGCTGTTTATTACAAGAACTCGAATGAGCACTTTTAAAATGCTAGCCACCGATTTGCATCACCTTGATGCAACAGGTAATGATGCCCAGACTCACAATAACGTAAACAGTCTTCCGTTTGCGGCTTAGCGTCCGGTATGCGGTAAGCATTGCGATGAGCGTGAGAACCCGCTGGGGACAACGGTCTCCGTCCGGTCTGGAATGCACGCTACCAGGATTCTAGAGCTTCCAGCCATCTAGTGATCGTCACCCCGGAGAAACGGGTAAGACAATGGGCGCTGACGACAGATGAGCGTCTCCAAGTTTCAAAAGGGTCCTGCCTGTTCCCGTTCCCGGTAAATCGTGTGTCGGTGGCGCTTGGCGCATGGAAAACGACCTGCCAGTGTGTTCCCAGCCCCCGGATTGTCCCTGGCTTGCTCCATCCATTCGACCGCGGCAAACGTCCGAAGACTCATACCGTGAGTCTAGAGTGTTCTTTGTGAGTGCGATTGCGTGCCTAGCTTATTCCCGTGTGGTGGGAATAAGGGAAGGCGTTTTAACGACGATGTATGAGTTGCGGAATAAGCGCTATTCCCAGGTGTCGGCCGTCTTACTGCGTTTTCTTATTTCCAGTTTGGAGCTTGGCTTTGAGGGTAGACGATACACAGGCGTTGTCATGTGGACCCTAGTTTGTGATCAAGATGTAGTTTCAGGGGCGTAGTTGTAAGCTATAGCTTCCCTTGCCCCGGATGACCAGAGTTGTGCCTGTACTCCCACATCCTGAGATCCGGAGAAGCCTAGTTGCGGAGAGTACTGTCACCCAGCGGACAAGGTCTCTTGCTCATAGAAAGTGAGGAGATGATGCTGCTTGAGCAGCTTGCGGACACATTGGTACCATTCCATATCGTTGCAGCAATTGCTCCTTGCACTTGTCCTTTGGTTCGATTTAATCTGTGATAAGCTCAGGAGGAGGAATATAAGTTACGCCAGAAGTAGCCGTCCCATATGCTTCGTTCTCTTATGTTTGACATCTGTTTGATGAGCTCATACAGTACGCAGCTGGTCTTTCGTCTCTCTCAGATGAGCCGCGGAGTTCGCACGCCAGCAGGATGCGGAGACATCACATAGACACGATTAGAAGCGCTTAGGCTGCAATACTCCGGCACTGTAAACCGCCGCAGACTTGCATGCCGTTGTCCATGCGGCTAAAGGCCACCGGTGCCCAGGCGACTCACTGCTGGTATACAGATCTTTCGACAAAGCCATGTAGGTTGTCATTGGCTGAGACCAGATCTAGTCACACGGAAGCTCTTCGCTTGTCTGCACCGCTAGGAGCAGCAAACCTGAAATCGATTTGATAAAGGGTGCGCTTGCATTGCCCGCCAGAGAGTGAATCCTCCTCGATGACAATCTCTCGCGATTTGAACACTCAAACAGAGATGGCACCCACATGACGGGTACTGAGGGGGGATTGAGCTGTGACGCAAAATAGACAGAAATTGAGCGACGTTTCAAGGAAATAACAAGCGAGCGGACAATTTAGCAACCGTCATGGTTGAAAGACTCAACCAACTCTGCGCAGTATTGTGGTCTATAGGAAATCACAAAGAGATGGCCACATAGAATAAAGAAGTCATGTAAACTTGCAGCCAACAACACCAAGACGGTAAAATGAAGCCTGGAAATGACGATATTCGTCGATTGTATGTCGGCTTACGGCAATGGCCGTCAAAAATTCAGCATTTTGGCGCGCCATGCAAGGAACCAGCAGGCCCAGGGCCGCTTTGTTACCTAATTTTAGAGTGGCGACTCCTGACTGGCTCGCTGGTAGTGTGTTGGTGATTCCATTGTGGAGTTTGATTTCCAGAAACTATTAACATTAAGTTGGGGCTGGCAGGCGGCCCGCTGGAGTCTCGTACTGCTGGTGCTGAGGAGGAATAACGTTATCGGCGTTAAGGTTAATGCAAGCGTTGCCTGGTGCTCAATTTGCACTCAGTAAGTGTAGTGTAAATCAGGGTCCTCGTGGATGCATTGTAATGGACCATTAGGGAGTGCCGTAGCCAAGGTAGGCTGAGTCAGTTGTGCAAGACATAACACTGCACAGCCTCAATCCGACCTTGCAAATACGAATTCCTACTGGCTTGGAAGTGCCTGCAACTGAGACTCTTTCCATTATGGAGAGGCCTCTCTTTAACGCTATGGAGAGGCCGACACCACACCTCGCACACATAGACAGAAACAAAGTGAATGAAGAAAAAAAAGATGATATCATATGGAACGTTGCTTAGTTGTTTGCCCTCCCACCTCTCCGCGCCATCCTTCCGGGTGCATCACGAGCGCCGAGTCTGCAGGGCCGGCCCAGCGCCGACGCTCAGGATTCGCTCCAGGAGGCCTGCATCGTGTTTGAGAATAGCTGTCGACGGTCCGATGGCCAGGCACTGAGAATGTCTTGGACAACGGTAGAGGCTCCATCACAGTCTGGGCAGAAGTGGGTAAAGGGTCACATATTTTGCACTGCACTGGCTGCACCTGGACTCGAGCAGCCTCCTCCTGTTTCAACCACAATGCCCAGTAATGAGTGTCGGGCTCGCCATAGGCTGCCCCAGGCTGCCGGAGTGCAGGAACAAACAGCTGCTGACTGCTGTTCACAGAAACAATTTATTAGTTAAGCCGCTGGTTAATTTGACCGATTGGACGAAAGGGAGCAGGCGGCATAATGGATGAACGCAGGGGGGAATCATCGGACGGGTCATGATTGCATTGATCTCTCCCTGGCCTGCCAGATATTTGTGCGCGCTCTTGAACCGTGAAGCGTGCATTGGCAGCGATTCCGCCAAGGGTTGGCAGATGAGCGCCGAGGGACCCCTATTCACTTTAAGCTTAGTGAAGAATGGCGCCTCGATGATTCGCTCGGCAACGAGAATCTCTAACAGGGGGGCCCGAGGGGATAAACTCGTTCGACCAGGAAACGGCCTGCTGGAAACTGGATTCGCGAGCGCGGTACCTGGCTAAACCACCTGCCCTAGACTCACTGCGGTAGGCGCCTGTCAAACACAGCGTCACTGCACTTCGCTGCGCTGCAAGATGGGCGTGCGCAGGTACACCACGCCAGATCACTGACTGATGCGGTGCCACCGTATACGATGAGATCAACAGAGATCAGCTGCTCCAGTTCGTTCTAGAGTACCCAGTGCATTGTGTAATGGACGGGCATCTCTGGAGGCTGGATTTGAGATGATTTCATCATCTATGTTCAACGGCTTCGAACGTCTTCTTCTGTTTCCGTCGAAAGGTGTGTGTCGGCGGCGTTACTGTGTGCCTGGTGTGGTTGCTGCGATGGAATGGGAGGCTGGTTATTCAGCGTCATAGGGGCGATCATTGATGGCGTCGCCATGATCGAAAACACCACACACTTGCGGTGGCACTGCCACTCGAGCCACTCTAGATCACTATACGACTCTATGCAGAAGTGAGTCTTTTCGCAATGATGGCTGCCGAGGACGTCTGCAATTAGGCGACGGAGAAGGAAATTGTCATGCCATGGGGAGCGGGAAACTGCAAACAAGCGGCGCGTGTCAAACCCAACTGGTGCAGCGCAGGCAGGTGCGACCTACTATTTTTTTCTCTCTCTCCACGCTCGTTCCTGCCTGCTCGTATTCATTCAGTGCAGGCGGCGTGCAATGCACCAAAATAAGAATTAGAGGGAGCGGGCTAGCAGGAAAAGGGGACTATCCGCGCACGTTACATTACCCTGGCGGGATTAGCCCCGGTCGCCCAAGCAGCGCCACAAATCTGGAGCATTCCTCGAACGGGCGAGCATACAACAATACAACAAAATAACGAGGGCGCTAGGCTCCGTACCAAATGGCAGCTACGTCCTGGCTCCACCCTCCTTTCCCCGTTCGCGGTCATTCAGCACCCTCCCCAAGCCTCCAAGCCTCCAGGGGTCAGAGGCTAAGAGACTAAAGAGCGACTAAGGCAAGATGCAGGCAGGGTGCCGTTGGTGCCTCTGGTGGTTGGCACGAGATGGGCGCTCTCTGGCTTTGAGATCATAAAACCTCCCTTTCACCCCCCAGGACGCCTCTCTTGTTAATTCTGCTCCATTATCTTGCTTCTACATTCGCTCATCAAGAACAGCCTCTTGTTCGCCTCAGCTACTCTCCTACGTCTCTTCATTTATAGTCTATTCTAATACAAACACCTTCAGTCTCTCGTTAACGACTGTTTACCTTTGCTAAACAAAACACTCGCTCTTCTGTTTAGCTCTTCAACTTTTTCAGCTCCACCAAATTCTCAACAAAGACACATCCGACTCTCGAATTCCTCAATCAACCACTCTTCACACAACCTCCAAAATGTTCTCCAAGGTCCTCTCCGCCACTACCGTGGCTCTGCTTGCATCCACACTTGCTTCTGCTCAGACATTCACTGCCTGTGACCCCACAAAGAAGGGTAAGAATTAAGCTTAATTATCTAGACTCATCAGAACGCGCAAAGTGCTAACAATCCGAATAGACTGCCCTGCCGACCCTGCTGTTGGCGGTACCGTCAGCATAGACTTCACAAAGGGTGAGAACGACTTTTTCACAGTAGCAGATGGAACCAAGCTCTCCTACGATCCCTCCCTCGGCGCTGTCTTCAGCATCAGCAATGAGAACGAGGCCCCCACCATCAGCAGCACCAAGTACATCTTCTTCGGAAAGGTTGACGTGACTGTTCGCGCGTCTGTCGGCCAGGGTGTAGTCACCAGCTTTGTGCTTCAATCCGATGATTTGGACGAGATCGACTGGGAGTGGCTCGGTGGTGACGAGTACAACGTCCAAACCAACTACTTCAGCAAGGGTGACACGACCACCTACGATCGTGGTGGTATCTCTCCCGTCGGAAGCCCCCAGGACACTTTCCACACCTACACCATTGACTGGACCGCCGAGCGTCTGAACTGGATCATCGACGGTACCGTTGTCCGGACTTTGACATACGCCGATGCTAAGGGAGGTGCTACCTACCCCCAGACCCCCATGCAGATCAAGCTTGGAACCTGGGTTGCTGGCAAGAAGGACGCTCCCAAGGGTACCGTCGAGTGGGCTGGTGGCTACACCAACTTCGCTGATGCTCCCTTCCTCGGCTACTACAAGAGCGTTGTCATCACCGACTACAGCAACGGTGTCGAGGGTGCCAAGGAGTATTCTTACGGTGACCGATCTGGTACCTACGAGTCCATCAAGATCAGCACCACCGGCGGCGATGTCTCTGGTGGCAAGAGCTCCTCTTCCAGCTCCGCCGTCAAGCCTACTTCCACCTCCGCCTCCGCCAAGGCCAGCAGCACCAAGCACTCTTCTACCTTCAGCACTGTCACCAGCAGCGCTGTGAGCTCCTCCGGCACCGCCAGCGCCGATGCTACCGACTCTACTGCCTCAGCAACTGAGACCGCCGCCTCCACCTCCGGATCCAGCACCACCGCCGCTGAGACTAGCAGCACCCCCAGCACAACCGCTGCCCCGGCCAACGCAGGTGTGAAGTCAGGCGTGAATGTCGCCCTCCTCGGCGCCGCTCTGTTCGCCTTCTTCGCTCTGTAGATCTGTCCTCTCTCACGAATGAACGTCAAGTCTTAGAGCTGGTCACACGGCCAAACGAATCCGGGGCTACTTAATCCCCGCCGCAACCGATTAATACACCACGATTCATGTCACTCCTTGAACACAACAAAGACTGGCCAATCGACGATGCCTGGGTGCTGAAGGCGGTTGGTGATGATCTGTACAGAAGAAAGTTTTTTATAATACTCGGTTGCAAAGCAGGAATCAACGGGCGCCTCGGGTCTGTGATTCAAAAGAAGAGATGGGGTTTGTGAATTGGGACACTAGACAACCGCGATGGGCTAGCCACTATGAGGGCACCCCGGGTTTTTTGCATGATACCTTGGAAGCATTTGCTTATTTTTGGGGAGGATTGATTGATAAAAGAGAGCGCGGCTTTTAGCTGTCGCATTATATAAAGGTTCGATGTCATATATTATCTATTTGCCAACGATGGCGCACCAGTTTTTGGCCATCTGTAGGAATGAGAATCAAGAGTTGATGTTGAAGATTTTGATGTCCACCGAGTTTCAAGTGCTTGTGAAACGAAACTTTCCCGTGATAGGTCAATGCTCACCATGGATGGCTGCTCATATCTTTTCAATTTACTCGGTGTATCTTGGGGTTTGAATATAGCAACGTGATGCATCTACAACACTTCAGAAGCGGCTCTTCTGCGCTCTGCTGCCATCTTGAAAACTGCCAAGTGAGAGTGTACACTGGCGTCCGCGGAGACCCTGGCTCTCCTCATCTCGGATGTGGGCGCCGAGAGTTACAGGCCAACGCCTGAACATCTAATTTCCACATTCGCAAGAGCCCCGCGCGATGAGGGGCCGGTTCGCATCAGGCGAACAACGGTTATCCACTCAGGCCACACTCTTGAGGCTATTTAGGCATGTTCAATCATGTCATTCAGTCGACATGGTCAGTAGAGTACGGAGGAAACTGCTCGTGCAACGAGTCGGGAAGAGGAGAAGAGTGCTTCAAAAAAGCCCTAGGCATCCGGCCCCGTAAATAGTTGAGTTGAGGTAAGACAGCAGGCGGCTGCTGTAGATCTGACATAACCTAACACTACTTGAATCTTACTGTCCCCACTGTATAAAGTACGGAGAGACAACACTCGCGTTTGTCAAGCTGGAACTTCACTTAGCCGAGTGAGTTGACTGTAATAAGAGTTCAACCATAGGTCTTGTGTTTTGTCCTACGATATAGAACACAAGATAGAGCGCGAGGAGATAGCAGGCAAGAAAAAGAAATAAACGAGCACGTGAGAGGTGTTTCCAAAGATGCCCAATAGACAAGCCGCATCAAGCCCAATGAGAGTGTGCTCAATCCAACAGCACCAAGGCGCTGATTAAAACAAACTGTCTATCTGGAATACTGTCGAGGTCAAAGACTGCAATAATGGCATCAGAAAGCCTAAGCAAGGACCCTCCAGGGCTAGAATTTATAGACTATTTTGCCAGGCGCCAAGCCGCAATGATTGATGTCAATCGAGTAGGCTTCACGCGACTTCATAAGAGCTACAGCCCGGTTTTCTATCCTATTAAGTCCGTGAGAAAACATGTTTTTGACCGTCAAACTAACATCTTGCAGTATAATCTTTGTACACGGATTAGAGGGTCACCCAAGATATACATGGGAGAACAGTCCGAGTGTTGAGGGTGGAGGTCTGGGGGATTCCGCTCCTGAAGTCGTCAATCCAAAATCCGTGTCATTATATGATATTCCCGGAACTTTGAATGAAAAGCCTGTGCGAACTTTTTGGCCTACTGAGTATCTCCCTAGTCAGATCCAAGAGGCGGATATTTACGTATGGGTACGAGCTAGACAATGTCAATGGGCTCTTCACATCAGACCATCAGAATAGCGTGAAGAAACATGGTCTGGACCTTGCAATGTCTATTGAAAGGGAGATTGATAACAATGTAAGATACTTGGGAATCGTAAGATGACGTGTTAGACTGACTGCAATAGGTTGCGCTCATCTTCATAGCCTACAGTCTGGGGGGTCTCATTGTCAAGGAGGTACGTAGTGAATGGCACAAAAACGGCCTGTTGTTGACATGCTTTTCCTAAGGCTCTCTGCCAATCACTGGCATGTCGGTCTCAGACAAGTCATATCATATTCTTAGGAACGCCACATCGAGCCAGTTCGAGTGCTACATGGGAAGACATAGCTCTCAAATTTGCTAACCTGACCGCACGACGCAAAAACCAGTCCTCTTTCATACCACCACACGTTGACAGCAAATATCTCGACGATATGAATGAGGAATTCAAGTCTGTGGTAGAGAGATTCAAAATCAACATATGCTCAATCCAGGAGGGCCGGGGGCTATCGTTGCTAGGCTTGCACAACAAAGTATACAAGGTCATCACATATGGTCGATCTGCAGTAGCTAATAACGGCTTCAGGTAGTAGACGACTACTCTTCAAGGCTTGGCCTTCCAACACCCCTGGAAATGCTCGAGAAATTCGAGACGACACATTTGGAATTAACAACATTTGTTACCAAGGATGAGCATCCCTTTATTGTCATCTCCAAGTTTCTGAAGGAATTTATTGATGAGGCAATGTTTCGTAAACCCCGAAATGCACTGCAAGCTTACGACAGGCTTGTCACGAGGGCTCTCAGAAGCACCAAGAGTGCCGATGCTGTGTCATCACAGGTCAACTTGGTGATACAGGTACGCAACTGGCAACGCCATCGCATCCTAGGTGAATTTCGTCAAGTCGGCGATATCCTTGCATTGACTGGCACTGCAACTGAGGCGTATGGAAGTACCTGCTCGAATTTCTTTGAATATTTCTGGCCCGATAGTAGCCAGACTGTGCTCAATCTATTGCAAATGCTAGGCAACGGACAGCGCACCCAAGAACCATGTAAGTAACCCCCCTGTTGAGAGAGATCGAATCACCCTCAGAAGTTGAGATAATTGAGAAGGAATTTGAGCTAGCACCATATGATGCAAGAGTTTGAGCGATACTGACTCCAGTACAGTATCTGATCAGCCTCATGGAATACATGAAATAGAAGGGGCACTGGAAATGACTTCGTTGACGCTGTCCGCCCTTGTAAATATCGAAAGGGCAGTGAGTCTGGTACAGCAGATCTCATGGGCAGTGGTTGCCCTCAGTTTGTCTCCTTTTTGGGGTAAACCTGCTACCGGCTTGATGATTCCCACATATACCAGGTCTAGCGAAGGAATGGTAAATTTACATTTCACAGTTAAATACCAGCAAATCGACGAGCCGGACCCAACATGTTGGCTTCAGCTTTTCAACGAACCAGTTCTCGCTAGTCACTTTCCCATACCGTCTAGAAACGACGAAATCGGACTGGAGATGCCGCTCGAATTCATGGCTCAACTTTGCGAGGCAAATCACGTTGTCGAGTTTGGCGGAGGTCTCGTTATCAAGGGCTTTACTGCTATGCTTTTGCATACTTCTATAAAGGGCGGCTTGGTTCAGTGGCACCTTGTAGCAAATGAAGGGGCGCACCTTTCATATCGTGACGGCGTCAGTAAATGCCCCTCAAGAGCTCTGCTGGATCAAGTATCCTTAGAAGACTTAAGGTCCACCCGTGCAATACTTGGCTGGTGTAAATTTGCTGAGATCAACCTCGGGAAATCAGACTGTACCTATTTGATCAATTATTCGGAGTGCGAGAAGTCAGGTCGGAGTCTTATTGTCTCCGACTTAAATTTCGGCAGCTCGCAGTTCATCGCTGCCCATGTGAAGCTGAAGTTGGGCTCTAAATCGCCAGAGAAACTTTACTACCCTCTGACAGGACATTATGAGCAAATCATTAACATGGCTTCAAGGATACCAGTGCTTCTTTACGATGCTGGGGATCGAAGGGCATGGCTGGTGGCGGCCACTAACGTTCTGCTACATATGGCTCAGCACCGCTTACTTCAGAGAGATGACTGCGTGTCCGGCATTAAATTCACTAATTCGGCTTCTGAGACATTGAAGCGACAGGCGAAAACAAGGCTGTCCGATATTGACAGTGACATTTTCGAAAATGTAGTCTCTGACGTATGGTCAAGACTGGAGCATCTGCGTGAGACTACCGTGAGTCGTTACAACTCTTCGGACCATGAGGTTCACACTCCGAACACTATATTCGGCTTCGACTACATTACTATTGTCGAGCAGGGGCTACCGCATCTCATGAAAACCACTATCAAAGACTCAAGCGGAGGCTGGCTAAAGCTTGCACAAGACATCGACGCTATCACTCTCTTCGCACGTGGATTAAAAGACATTATCAAGCCAGCCTCGATGGAGAGAGCCCAGGTCTGTCATTCATGGAGCTATCTTCCTCTCGGATGTGACTATCTCGCTGCATCTATTGAAACTCTCGCAGCTTCCGCTGTCACTGCCACTGAGTTCAAACTTCAGAGAGACATCTTACGATACCCTCTGGAGGGAGTTTACCTGACTCGTATGAAGCGTCTTCGATGGCACAAGGGAAATAGTCTTGTCTTCGGCGAGTGTATCACATCAGGAAGCGACCGGGAGGCCACATGTCGGTGCTGCAGACTTCAACGTGTGGAGCCTCACTTTTTTGGCAACTTTGTATCTCCAGGTTCTTTCCTTTTGATGGATATTCTCAAAGGTGCAGTCATTTTTGGTGCGACATGATAAGATACGAGACATAACGGGATGGCGTTGCTCCCAGGGGCCTATTTGGAAAGTAGATATTCTTCTTGTAAATCTGAATTCTAGCGAGTCACTACTGTCTCAGTGGGGAATCCACTAGCCGAGTGGTTGATCAACATCGATGCGCGCGACGGCGCAGTTGATGCGGCACCAACATCCTGGATCATTCTTCTTATGAGTCACCATATCAACAATCACCTTCAAACCCTGGAACTTCTGATCATTATTAAATTGTCAGAATATCTGTGTAATTCAGGCCACAAATTATTAGACAACTTGGATAGCGTCTCGTATCATGGCTTCTTCAACTGATTACAAGAATTGGGTCCGCCAGGGCAGTGAGACATATCTCTGCTCAACCAACCCAGCCCTTCTAGACCTCAACGCCCTCAATGCAGCGTTAAGTTCTGACATGCTCTGGTGGGCGACTGCTCTATCCGAAGAGCAATTGAAGAAGGTGGTCGAGACTTGCCTGATGGTTGGGCTATACGTAGTCAAGCCTGAATCATCATCTCAGCCAGTAGGCAAGTACTCTTGAACCTCAACGCTCGGAATTCTAGCTGACAACAATTCAGAGGAAGCGCCCCGTGTCATGATCGGCTCAGCGAGGGTCATCACAGATCACGTCACCTTCGGATATCTTACCGACGTATATGTGTTGAAGGAATACCAGCAGAAGGGCCTCGGCAGCTGGATGATGGACTGCCTGAATGAGGTGGTGGAGCCGTGGCCGAAGCTGCGTGGCTTCTGGATCTTCAGTAGCAGCGATGAAGGTGAGAAGCTCTATACAAAGTCTCTCAAGGCCGCGGACTTTTTCGCAACGAATCCAGAAACCCATCTCAAGCTGCTTTGGAAGAAGGGGAACGGAAACAAGCATATGTCCGATCTGAATTGAGTTATCCTGCCAAGCTTCCTGAGACAGTATTGTAGCGAGACAATCGTATATCAACCTTTTACAGTAGTTTTACCATATGCACCACCTGCTGCCTTTCGCATCTCCAGAGCGCGTTTGTAAGGGGGAGCTGTTGGTGGTTGTACCGGCTCAAGTGAAACATGGCCTTCGGGAAGCTTGTAGGATGCATCAGAGTCGAAAGCAGAGAGATCGCCGCAAGCTAGGAAAGGAGCGATCCATCTGATGTCTTTCTCCTGGTCCTCTGTCCTGTCTTCGAACTCTACCTCAACAATGCCGTCGTCTTTAGGCAAGAGCTGTGCCTCCGGACTGTAGTCCCAAGCACTGGTCTGTGGATTTTGCATCGTCACTTCAGCTGTGATCGGCAGTCGTTGTTGGCGCTCCTGAACCATTCGAGGTAACCTGTAGCCGACTCCCAACGGTTCGTCCAGGTTGGCGATGAAGCCTGGCGGTGGCTGAAAGTTTAAGCATACAATGAAAGCCTCCACACTGCTGGCTCTTGAAGAACGTGGTTTCGCGACCACAACTCGCTCGAAGAATATCTTCAATTGTGCGTACAAGACATCCACGTTTCTGCCCCTGAAGATCTTGGCAACAAACTTTCCGCCCGGCTTCAATACGCATAGAGCAAGGTTTAAGGCTGCGAAAAGAAGCTGAGACTGGACATAGATGTCGAGATCGTGTAGCCCCGTGACATCAGGGGCCCCATCACTGAGAACCAGGTCAACTGGGTGAGAAGCCTGCTGGCTCCTTGAACTTGGCTCATAATCCGGATCTAGAGCTTTAAGAAGAAGAGGGACAGTCGCAGGATGTGTGATGTCCGCACGAAGAGTGACGATACCGGGCAACGGACTGATAGGCTGCAAATCAATGGACACAATCTTCACACCCTCACGAGGCCTTAGTTGATCATCCTGAGCACCTGTTTTTGGGGAAATTGATGTCTCTTCCCTATCAGGAGCAGCATCCGGGCCGAAGACACGAAGCATCTGTTGACGAAACTTGGCTTCCTTATCTTGCCATGCTGCTCGGCCAAACTTCTCGCCCTTAATTAAAACACGGGATAGAACCTGTGACCAACTGCCTGGCGCAGCGCATAGATCAACTACCCGGGTAACATCCTTGAAGAGATCGAATTCTATCCCGGGTTAGACACAGCATTAAAGACGCGCGACAGAGAGAAATCATACCCTCGTCAAGTTGCAGTAGCTTGAAAGCACTTCTCGCCCTCCAACCTTGCTCTTTTGCAAGTCTGTAGTAGGCGTCTCGCTTATCTTTTGAAGATTTCCCCATTTCGACGGCTGTCACAGCGAAATAGAGCTTCTCAGTTGAGTATGCACGGGCTGTAATTCCGCTATTGGAAAATTTCAGCAGAGGGGCAGGTCTTCTGTAGGGCTGATTTAAGCTATGGTCTGTGCGGCCCCCCACGCTGAAGGGTCGCAACCAAAAAAATTCGTGAGAGCCATTCTAGCTTGAGCTACATCCAACAACGACATCTTTTCACTTCTCCGTCTCTCCGCCGTACTGCCACAGCTCAGCCAAGATGGATCGCACTGCCAAGAAGCGAAAGACCCAGAGCCCTGGAAAGCCGTCCGCATCCAAACGGACAAAACTCGCCAATTCCAAGACTCTCTCATCGAAACCGAAACGAATAGTGACGGCGGATTCTCTGGCATGGAAAGAGGTCAGCGTACCTGAGATGTTCGATGATGCAGAGGGATTCTTTGGATTAGAGGAAGTGGAAGGCGTAGAAGTAGTGCGCAATGGCAATACGGTCCAATTCGTAAGCTTTCCCTTGCTGTTGTGCAGTAGCTATCATACTGACATTCTCGAAGGTGACAGCTGCGCCGTCTTCCGATGCGAGCGAATTCGAAGGCTTCGACGACCCTCCACAAGTACCGCAAGAGGAAGCGGTACCGAAGACTTCGCGGAATAGTGATAATGGGCAGAAAGAGAAGATCAAGAAAGAGAGCAAGAAGCCTAAAAACTCCAAGCCCACCGAGGACCCTGAACTAGAGAGCAATGTCTTTTCAACGTTGCAGGAATCAGATGGGCCAGCAGAGGATACTGATATGTCGGCTTGGGTTTCGCTTGAAATATCCCCTGCTGTAATATCATCCTTATCAAAACTGGGGTTCTCAAAGCCGACTGCGATTCAATCAGCTGCTATTCCTAAAATCCTTGCTGGTCACGATGTTATTGGAAAGGCATCCACTGGTTCTGGAAAGACTTTGGCTTTCTCTATACCTATAGTGGAGTCATGGCTGAACGAACGAGAAATCGGAAAGCAGAAGGAGACCAAGTCTCCTATCGCACTGATACTATCTCCAACCCGAGAGCTTGCTCATCAGATTACAAATCATATCAAAGAAGTGTGCGCCGGGTTAGAGATATCTCCTTTTGTATGCTCCGTGACTGGAGGACTATCCGTCCAAAAGCAACAGCGACAATTGGAGAAAGCGGACATCGTCATTGGTACCCCCGGTCGATTGTGGGAGGTACTCAGTGCAAGTACAGCTCTTCTTGGATCTTTCAGGAAAGTGCAGTATCTCGTAGTTGATGAAGCTGACCGACTGCTCACTGAGGGGCACTTCAAGGAGGCAGAAGACATTTTCAACGCTCTCGATCGAATTGAAGGGAACGAGGATGAAGAAGATGATGAGCTTTCTCCACGTCAGACCCTCGTTTTCTCGGCAACATTCAACAGAGGTTTACAGCAGAAACTCGCTGGCAAGGGCAAATACGATCTCATGACCGAGGCGCAGTCTATGGAATACCTACTGAAGAAGCTGAATTTTAGAGAGGAGAAGCCGAAATTCATCGACGTCAATCCGGTATCTCAGATGGCCACTGGTCTCAAGGAAGGACTTGTTGAATGTGGTGCCATGGAGAAGGTAGACAAAACCCATGAGTTATAATGAACAACACAGCTGACCACATTCAGGATCTATATCTGTATTCGCTCGTCCTCCTTCAAGCCAATCAACGAATATTGGTTTTCACAAACTCTATCAGTGCCGTTCGGCGTCTTACTCCTATGCTACAGAATCTCAATCTCCCCGTGCACGCCTTGCACTCTCAGATGCCTCAGAAGGCGCGGCTTAGGTCAGTGGAGCGTTTCACAAGTTCGAAACCAGACACATCAGCCATTCTAGTCGCGACCGATGTTGCCGCCCGTGGTCTTGATATTCCAGGAATCGATGTAGTCATACACTATCATGTACCTCGAGCAGCCGATGCCTACGTCCATCGGTCGGGTCGAACTGCTCGCGCCGAGAGATCAGGCTTAAGCATTCTTCTATGCGCACCCGAAGAGGTGACTCCCACGCGACGACTTATCGCGAAGGTCCATGCATCATCAAAGAATAGGGCCAGCAAGAAAACAGATTTCTTCGTCCGAACAATTGATATCGACCGCCGTGTAGTGTCTCGCCTGAAGGAACGAGTGACCCTTGCCAAGAAAATTGCAGACTCTGCTCTTGCGAAGGAGAAGGGTGGGAAGGAGGACAACTGGATGCGAAACGCTGCTGAAGAGCTTGGTGTGGAATATGACAGTGATGAGATGGAGAAAGCCTCAAACTGGGGAGGTCGCGGTAGTGGCAGGAAGTCCAAAGAGAAAGAATCTAGAGAGATGACCAAGACTGAAGTTGGAGCCTTGAGGGCACAGTTGAAACAGCTCCTTGCGAAGAGGGTCAATGCTGGAGTGAGCGAGAGATACATCGCCGACGGCACAGTGGACATGGATGAGCTGCTGAGAGGCGCAAAGGGCGACTTCCTGGGGACAGTTCGAAGTCTTGATCTTGATGATTGATGCCATCATTGGTTCGTACGATGTTACACTTTCATGGATAGATACCCGTAGATACACCGTTCAAGCACTAGGCTACTGATTTGTCTTCAAATTCTCCATTTGTCATTGAACTGGTCGCGCTCACTCTGGCCCCCGCGTGATAGACCGTACAGACACAGCACAATCCAGACTCCTGCCCTTTAGTATTGTGCACATATTCGACTCTTTGCAACCCTACTATGCATCCAGGCAAATCACCCGCGTACGGTCTAGCAAGACATTTTGGTACCCATAGCCATATGCCAGATTTGCACTGACGATGCTTACGGTTCGAGTTCCGAGCTCGCGAACTATGTTGAGCTTCTCGAAGAAGCTTTTAGAGGCTGACGACTGTCGATCGAGTAAGACATCTTCACAAACAGAAGGATCGTTTTGGGGATTGAGCCAGCCATCGTCATTGGACGCAGTGTATGGTTCCTCTCGAATAGACGGGGGCAAGCTCTCGTGTTTCACACTACCCTCACCGCAGAACATGCAACCCCTCTGTTGCGTCTCACAAGAGCTCCAGCTCTGGTAAAGGGTTCGCGCTTCATGTTGATCGGGTAGGACTTGATAATCATTGGCGTCTCTTCGGGAAGATGTAGCTTGCACATATGCATTCGCGGTCTGTCGCTCAAATGCTTCCTGAACACCATTGTCTTCGTTGAGGAGCATTGAGTCTTGAACCATGCCCGCAAGCCTCTTCCACAATTCGCTCCCTATCTCATCGAATTTGACCGGCACACTGATCAATCTTCGACATTCCTTGGTCCCCTCATGCTGTGGTAGGTATCCAAGAGCAACCAGCTCTGGCATCGTCAGAGAACATTTGATTCTTGTCTGGCTCCAGTATTTGCTCCACCGCTCGTTGACGAAGTCCCGTAGGAAGCCCTTAGCTTCATATATTGAGTCTTGTCTCTGTTGGATGCGTAGTTCTTCAACAGCTTTCTCTGCTTCCTCCTTGAGAATCAGCATTTGCTTGTTCTTTTTCCCTGCTCGAGATATGATGGGGATATGGAGCTTGCCCAAGCCGTTGGTAGTCACCATTGTTGATACTGTTTTGTGCGACGAGTTGACAACTGAAGAGTTGATATTGGTAGGAGGAAATGACCGAGGAATTCTTATACTAGATAAGTCCAACTACATCAACTGTCCAGTGTCTTTTTACTTGGGACACCTTTAGGGAATTCTAAATGTTTCACCTTGGAAGTAGGTGTTCGATATGCCTTTCGATACAAACACGAGCCCAGGCCAGCCCTAGAGATCTGGCTTTCAAACGCTGGTTTGGCTTTGCCAATGATAGACAATGTGAAATTTGAAGGCAAAATAACCGTAAGTGGTTTGTGGAATGCAGTTTGCAGTCTTCTTTGCATATCTGAGTCAAAGAAACTTCTACATAGTAGGTCATAAATGGAAGCTCAGGCCAAACACTTTCATTGATTTATATACTTCTTCTATAGGAGCAGGTGCGTGTTGCTAGGTTTATACTGGCTACTTCAGCTGGTTGACTGCGAGCTTATTTCAGCAACATGACCTCCAACCCCCACGCCTCCATGGATGGGCTGATGCATCTATAAAGCTTATTGTTCCCTGACAACAATAAGCTTGAATCACCATCTGTATTGTTTTCTTCATCGAAGACAGTCACTCGAGTGCTGCCCATCGATTGGCTGAGGTCAAACACCAGCTTGAATGCTAACCATGATTGGGCAGCGTCTCCAAATTGCCTTTGAAGACACAGCTTTGTTCTACTTGACATAGACCGACTGCCATCCATTGACTGATTCGAACGAAAGTTTTCATCATAGCTTTTGAATTGACATCCAAATTACTATCTACAGCTCGGTCTGTCCTTCGAACGTTTTCAGGGTGTTTCTTGAAGCTTTAGATAGGTGAGTGTGGCCGGAGATACACTGTCTTGAGACATTACATTTCTTGAAAAGCGGCAATTCCATCTTGCAGTATTGTATCATTGGCCGTTATTCTCTTAATTAGATTATAACTTTGGTTCATTCATCGGCCATCTAGCCAAAGACAAAAACTCAACATAGCGCATGGAGCCTCAGGCTTGAAGACTGATTCAATGTGTGTCTATAAACTCAAGGGGGATGATGTCTCAATAACCTACTTGAAAGTTCTAGAATTGGCTCTCCTTGGCTCTCCTACAGTTTGTTCTATTTGATGATTGGTAAACAGTTACATTTGCAAGACCCTCGTCTCTAAAGGCAATCACTTGGAGATCTTAGACATACACACACACACACACACATATATATATATATATATATGCAACTCAATCTTGAAACACGGAACTGCGACGGTTTCGTACATTCGAAAGAGTCCACGAGGAAAACGGGCCGTGGCCCTGTTATGTTCAGCTCATGTAATGCTTGTACATGAGCCTTGTTGGTAGGTTGGAAAAGAAAGGGGTACTCACTTTATTCCTCAGATCTCCTCAAGGAAGATGTCAGGTTGAAATAGAGGTGAAGTTGAGATGAGAGTATTTAGAACAACTCTCACTTGAAAAGAAGAGCTCGCCAAAATAGTGAGCAGAATTTGATCCGTTCACCTTCAAGATTCTTGTTCCTTCCAAATTTTCATCCCAACTTTGGTCGCTTGGGTGACTCGCGATTTTGCGATTGTTGTTGACCTGCCTAGTCACCTGTCCTCTCCCATCTTCCTTTTCCTTCCCAACTTTCTTCCAGCGACGTCCGACTTCCTCAGACAAACCCGCACCCATCACACATCAACAACTCCTCCATCTCCATCATCACCACCGTCACCGTCACCATCACCACCACCATCACCATCATCATCATCATCGTCATCTTCTAGACGAGAGAAAATGCCTTCCAAGACAATGTTCTTGTTCCTCCTTGCGGCGTTTATCGCCATCTTTTTACCCCCCTTCCTCATCTCCTCTAAGCACCTCGAGGTGATCGGCGCGCTCGTCCAGGCCCGCGATATCGCGGTTACCGCCTTGGTCGACGCGCCCCCTCGTCTGTCCCCCTTCCTGTCCCATGCCGTCATCATGGTTGACACCCTCTTCGCGCTGTACGCACAATTGTGCGGCGTGCTGTCGTCTGGCCCCCTCGTGGAATCTCGTTACAGGACCCATAGCTGTTACGAGAGAATCTACCGTGGCAACGACATTCTTTATCCGGTTGGGAATGCCCACTTCGCGATGTACCAGGGCTTCTGCAACGGCGTGGAACGGGGCCTTAGGCTCCCGGGTTTCGTAGACCGGGTGCCACTGCCCCGAACTCCCGTCCTCCTTGCGCTCCTTGGCGTCGTGGGCATGGCCCTCTTGCCCGCCCTCCACATAACCGCCATACGTGGCTCCCGACTCGTTGTCCGCTTCGCAAGACGCCTCACGGCATTTGGTCAGAGTTTCCTCGCCTGTGCCGTGTCGATCGTTGTCTCGACTCCCATTGTCGTCAACGAGACGTTCCGGCAGATTGCCTTGCCCATTCCAGCCGCAGTCAATATCATCAGTGTCATCGTCGCCGGCCTAACCAGCATTGCTTTGGTCATCTTGACCATTGTCACATGCTGGGGAAGCCAGATGTTTGACGCTGCCTACGCGTGGTGGACCGGCGGAAGAAAGTTCTCGGACGTTGCCGGCGTCGACAAGGGCACCCAAACCCCGAGGAACTTGTCGGGTGTTTGCAAGGAACGAGCTCTCGACTGCAAGGACATGGTCCGTCGGTACATAGCGGCCGACAATGCTCTTGACAACGAACGTCACCAGCATCGCGACGACATCGCGCGACGAGACAAGGTCCTCCGAGACCGAGATGCCGAAATCCACCGTCTTCATAGGGCACTGGCGGCACGAGACAAGAAACTCGTGGCTGTGAAGGAGGAGCTTGCGGCCTCAAAGATGGAGTCCGCAAAGTCGAGCCAAGATGCTCGCAAGGCCAGTAACGAGCAGAGTCTCGAGCGAAAGCTCACTTCCCTCAAACAAGAGGCGAAGTTTGCCGAGCTCGAAGGCGACAACATGCGCCTAGGAGAGCAGTTGATCGCCGCGAACCAGAAGATTGAGGCTCTTGAGAAAGACCTCTCGAACGAGAAGCACGCCCGCGCCCAAGAGCAGAAGGGAACTCTGGAGGCAGCCCAAGCCGCAGTAGGCTTGAGCCAGTCAAAGGAGGCAGAGGCGGCGCAAAAGGTCGAGAGACTCGGGCAAGAGCTCTCAGCCTTGAAGGACAGCCTCGCCAACGAGCAACAGGCCCGGCTGGAGGTAACCCAGAGTGCTGAAGCGCACATTCGAGCGCTTGAGGCAGAGGCGACCCAACGGATCGGGGCCCTCGAGCAATCCCTCGCGGCGCAGCAGCAGGAACATGCTGCCCAGCTGCAGTGGAAGGACCTCGAGGCAACCCAGGCCAAGGGCCGTCAGGCCGAACTCGACAAGGTGGCGGAGCACAAGCTGGAGAGCATCCAGCGACAACTTACGGCCGAACGAAAAGCCGGTGCCGAACGGGAGGTGAAGCACTATAACGCTTTGAAAGACGCCGAGGCAAAGTTCGAGCGGCTTGTGGAGACAAGACGGCCAAAGAAGCAGATCTCGGACTGGCCAGTCGAGGACTTGTTGGAGGAGGTGGTTCACCTCGTCAACGAGGAGAACCCCTTCGCTGACAACGTCACCACCTATTATTGGGCACAAGAGCTCAAGGGGAAGTTGAACAAGAAACTTCCATCAGAAGACGTGCCCGATTCTACCAAGGAAGCGGAGCCGTCCGAGGAGACTCAAGCCTCCGCAGCGAGTCTCGCCGCTCGGCATATCAAGCCTTGCAAGGGTCCTTCAGCCAAGTTGGCCGCTGGAGGTGGCCGCAAGGCCGAACAAAAGTGATGCGGTGCTGCAACTGCAGCAATGCGGACGAAATCCTGGAGTAGTAGTGTCCAGTACAACGAAAGTGCTGGATACAACTTCACGGGTTGAAGTCTGGGTGGAGTGATGAGGTGGGGGTTCAGCCTTGGCAAGTGTCCCAGAAATTGACGTGCCCACGTCCCCCAAAAAAGAGAAAAAAGAAAAAGGCCAAAAAAAAGTCTGGCAGCAGGATCTATCAAGGATCTCGCACCTTCCCGATCTAAATATACTTACCTCATGTCAGAGTACTCAAATTCGACGACGAGTCTTGTATCAGTATTTCTCCAGTCTCAAATCGCGTCGCTTTACTAGACATCAGCCTCACCGCGCGCCGATCTTCCGACAACGCTCACAAGTGCCCCTTTTCTCTGCCGCCGGTGCGTTGTGTGGCGTCGTCTAGCTCCTTTGGCTATTTCCACATTTCTCACAAAACAAATCACGACTGGAGGGGGCCAGAAGAGATGCCGAAGGCGTTGATTACCTTTTCAGATGGGCGACCATCTACAATAACCAGGGGAAACCCATATTACTCAACCAAACTTGTTCGATTTCATGAGACGAGAACGAGGTGACTGCGGCTTCAACGGACAAGGTCGAGGCAAAAGGTCGTGCAAGCGGGTCATTTATCACGCCGCTGTTGGGGTCCCCTCCTCGTTCGGTCCCGCCCAATGACACATGGCGGACCATCACCCTGACAAAATGTCCATCCTTAGCCTCATTGGCCTCCGCCGTCAATTGTGCAGCTTGCAGTCGCTAGTTCATAAGGAAATCTACGACTCGCTTGTAGTATCCCAAGAAGGAAGCCTTCAAACCTCATTGTGGGGTTGTGGAGAACGGATCCATGCGAGATCTCACTGTCTAAGTTATCCTCGAGAGCATTCAACAAGGAGGGCAGTCTTCATCGATATGGATAGTTTATGAGCATGTCGATGTGCAACATGCTATTTCGTCCTGTACGCCATCTTGAGCCACCGTTTGGACCTTGCATTGGTCATTAAAGTTGCAGCTCTTGGCCTTGGTGGCTTGAGGCGCCGTTCACGAAACCATTCCTTACTCGAGTAGCGGGACCTGCAGCGTGGAATGGGGGCACCACCATGCTCTAATCGAGAGACGATGTTTTTCAGCTGACAGGGGTCCTGACACCTCCCATCGGCAGGCACACACCGTTACCCCAAGGGGTCTCTATTCGCACGATGCCCAGAGTCTGCCTATCATGGCGTCTTTGGCGCGGAACTACCATGGGTGTGGAGGAGCGGCAATGTTTGCAGTCTATTGCAAATTCCCCGTCAATAGATTTCCCTCCCTCCTTCTTTCCCCATCAACCGAGACCTTGGGCTGATGTGACGTGATTACTTCCTACATTCTTGCCTTTCTTTGGTACCTTTCTTCAGCAAGCATTCGTCTTGGTCTTATCAGCCATATACGGCCGCAATAATGCGGCATTCACACCTTCGCTTGGTGGTACCACTTGCGCTCTCCGCGCTTTTGGTGAAAGCCGACGTCGTCTATGTTACAGACCTTGCGATCTTCACGTATCTCGTAAGTCGCGTCTTCTCAGCTCGATAAGACTCATTGACTCACAAATATCGCAGGCGCCATGCGCAGCATCTGCGGTTTCCGAAAATATCCAGTACCAGACGTACGACCGCTGCCCAGAGTCTGTAACCGACCTCCAAGGATGTATTTGCACCCAAGACAACAACTTTGCTTCAATCTCATCGGCGCTGTCAAGCTCGGTTAGCGCGAGATGCGGCTCTACCGCCAGCGATGATCAGGCATCGGCCCAAACAGTGAGCTCAAAATATGTCCAGGACGTTGCTCCATCTAACACGCGGCCTAGGTGTTGACTGCGTACTGCAACCAAGATGACTTGCCAACCTTCCCGACACCGACAAGTCCTGTTTCCGCATATATCACTGATATTGCCGAGTTCGAATACCTGGCCCCCTGTGCTGCCAGCGGTCTATCATATGCAGTTCAGTACGTCTTCTTCCAAGAGCCCTCCCCCTGTATGTCACCGATAGAAATCCAACTAACAATTCTATAGAAGCATGGTGAGATGAAATGCGACGCCGTCTCGACAAGATACTGACATTGATAGACCGCCGAACTTTGCCCACCTGACGCTCCACTTCTCGCGACTTGCGCATGTCAAAAAAATCAAAACTCATTATTGATTAGCCAAGCCATTAATACCGATGTCAAATACTCCTGCTCGTCGCATTCAGAGGACATCACGTCGGCTCAGGCCATGTTCTCTGCATACTGCGCCATGAACGATGGAACTTCCTCTTTCCCAACCCCAACTGACCCGTCTGGAGAGAGTACGTCTTCCTCACTTTTCTGTACCCAGAGGGTTCAACCATGCTAATTTCAATCCAGTGACTTACTTCATCACTGCCCTGACACAATTTTCTGCTCTTGCGCCTTGCGCCGCCAGCGCTGTTTCCTACGCCGTTGAAGCTGTAAGCTCTCCACATGCTATCGCAACACTATTCTCGATGTGACCAATAGCTAAACCATAATAGCAAACCTGGGAGCTCTGTCCGACCGGGGTGGAAGCACTAGCTTCGTGCGTATGCATCAAGGAGAGTATGTCTGGCTCGGTTTCTAGTACTATCACGTCAGAAGTCAAATGGTCGTGCGATTCGACAGCCAGCGCAGATATAACCTCTGCCCTCGCCGTCTTCGACTTCTACTGCAGCGCAGTGAACGGCTTGGTTGAAGCTGCGGGAGTGACAGAATCTGGTAATATTTCACTCGGACTTCTCTTTCCTGATCCCCTCAGCTAACTCAGTCACAGAATCTCAGACTCGGCCAACAGGTGCGACCAATGGTTATTATAGTACCACAGGACCAAGTGCTACGAAGGGTGGCAGTTCGCCTAAGAGCAGTAGTGCTACAGGAAGCGGAGGATCGAGCTCGGGAGACAGTGGTAGTGGAAGTGGCTCCGGCGGCTCTTCCAGCGGTTCAACTGATGACGGATCCAAGTCCAATACGGCCGTCATTGCTGGTGCAGTTGTCGGTGTTGTTGGAGGGCTTGCCCTCATTGGTGCTGGAATCTGGTTCATCATCAGACATCGCCGAAACAACCGCAATAACATCGCACAGTCAGTACAACAAAACCCATCGACCGACCCATCCTATCCAGGCAAGCCCGAATTAGCCGGCACAGTACTTGCGGTACCTCCTCCATCGCACAGCCCGAGCCCCAGTATGATGAAGCAACATGGGCATCCCTCTCCAGTCCCGTCACCAAGACCCGACACAATCTCTCCGATCTCTGGAGGCAATAGTCCATACTCTCCGCCCCCGCCGCACGGAGCCGAACTACATGGGCAGCATCCTCCCCCCTTCCCTCCGGCAAATACCTCGGAATTGCAAGGGCAAAATGCCTACCCGATGCAACCTACATACGCCGGATCCCATCCGCCATCACCTGGACATGTGCAACAGTATCCTGGTGTACAAGAGGCTTATAGTCAACCTATCTACGAAGTCCCAGGACAACAGCAGCGACCTATATATCAGGCAGACTCGAGACCTGTACACCCACCTAGGGCTGAGTTGCAGGGCATGGGATGGCAATCAGGACCAGTAAATGAGTACCATGAGATGGACGGGGCAGGCTATGGCCAGGCCAGGTGATAATCGCTCGTGCCAAGCAGCCTTGAGAGCATGTCTTGAAAGAGGAATGATATGGAGTTTTTTGAGGTTTGGAGTCATACGCAATGCATTTAGCGCTGTTTGGCAGATATCCTGGGGCTTTGACTCCTTGAAGCGGTATTCATATCTGATACTGTAATAAACTTGATATAATACTCAAGGCATGCGGATGGTTCTTCCGCGTTGGAACATACAGAGAAAAGTTGGCTGATAACTTCGGCAATTAGTTACTACCACGTACTCAACATCCAATAATTAGACAGATGGTCAAGATAATGAGGCGCATTGCGGTGCACTGAAAGAACCATATCCAGCAACTATGAATGCCCTAACAGAACCCTCCAGAGTTGCAAACCCTAATGAGAGATTGCCTCGCAAGATAAATACAACTAAGTAAAATACAAGAGACCAGCAGTGATTTTGCCTATGATTACTCCGACCTCCTCCATCCCCTCTTGAGCAGTTCGATTGCTGGATATTGACCAACAGCTCAAGCCGGCCAGCAATCGACTTGGACCTCGTTACGCGTAGACGCTCGAATGGCTTCCTTGACCCACGAGGCCTTGCAGGCGAAGAAGGTGTTGAATTTAATGAAGACCTGGCCATCATCGTCGAGATGATTGCATTTGAACATTGTCGGACTGCACATTGCAAAACCGCGGACGTTATCGAGCAAGCCAACTCCGCATCCGTCCGGGTTGTACTTGTAGTCGTTAGGGTAGCTGACTTCCCACGACGTAACGAGAGGCCATGGCGTCCAAACACAGTACTTATGCGGATCGAGGACACCGCCTTGTCTGGGTTTAATGGTGCTGTTGTTTCCAGTCATGTCTGTTTCGTTGTACCCAAGCAATAGTCTCTGATTCGGGGCGGGAGTCGCATTTGCTGAAGGGCTCATGGAGATGGCCAAGACCGCGAGCAGACTTTTGATGAAGTGCATTATGGCTGTGTGTGACGTGGGTTATGCTCAGTAGAGGAGTGCAGTCAATGTAGTTGACCCTAAACGATGGTCTTGAGCTCTCCGACTCGCACGTCTATATAGCCTTGGACGGATTCTTAAATATGTGTATGAGAACATATTATATGAGAAATGATCAAGGCATTCACAAGTTGAGGCTTTATACGTGAATACCTTGGTAGAGTCCACGGTACCGGAGAAACATCACGAATCCCTCGGTGAGGGTGTCTGTGTGGAGCCATCCTCGGAGATCCGCTGGTTCGACGCTGTACCCAACATAATGGCGTGTGGTTCGACCGAATATTTAATTAAAAGCGCACTCAGTTGAAATCATATGTGGGCGATAAAAGTGCCTCAATGTTTGAAGCCAGGAGACGAGTCGATGTTGTTTAAGAAAGACATCGTTTTACTCGCTGCTGTGTTGAAACTCAAGTAGTCACGCAGCTACATGAGCTGGCTAGGCCTACATTTCATCTTGGCTGCGAATCCTTGGAAATAAGTAGACATTCATGTATCAAAGCATTCACACGAGGAGAAATGAACTCTCCGAGAACTGGTATATCAAGACTGGCACCTCAAGAACAACGATTACACTGTCGCCATTTCATATATACTGGGTATACGCAAGTTATATCCGTGGCATAATATTTCCACCGAAATATGTGTCCTGGGTACAAGGACGCTGATACTGTGACATGGAATCCTCACCAAAACTTGCCTACTGAGTATAACAAATCAACCTACCGAGTATAAGGGACTAACCTACTGAGCATAAGCGACCAACACACTGAGTATAAGAGATTAACTTGCTGAGCATATTAGATCAAGCTATTGAGTATAAGAGATCACCTTTTGAGTATAAGAAACCATCTCCCGAATATAAGGCATCTTAATATACCAGACATGCCATTTGGATGGAGTTCCCATGATCTACCCAGTACGCTCATTTAGGGGGGATTTCAATGAAATACCCACAGGCTCCTTTTTGGTGTGAATTCTATGATACACCCACAGACGCCCTTTGGGTGTAACTTCTATGATGTATCCACGTACTCCATTTGGGTGTAGTTTCTATGATATACCTACAGACGCCATTTGGATGGGATTTCAATGATATACCCACGGACACCATTTGGGAGTGAATGCTATGATATACCTAATAGGACAATTTCTCGTATTGATGTAAAAATAGACCATGTGGCTCCTCACCCAAGATTCGCTATCAATGTATGACCTAGAAACAGAAGCAATGTATTAGAGATCCATGATGATTTCGGAAGTGTAAGTGCATTTCATTTCTGCGTTGTAGGTAGTAGGTTTTCTTGGACAGTTACGCGGGTTTGCAGGTGGTCTACCATGCTTAAAGCATCCAATGAGGAGGACGGAGCGACCTCTAAAGTTAGGCCAATGAGCACCGAGGTGCCGTCACCCAGCAGCGGCAGAAGAACAAGGGGGCCCCACTACAGCTCTAGAGTCACCCTTGCAGTGTAACCGTGCACCTTCTGAAAACGGGTGCCTCTTGTTGGTGCTTTCCACCTCAAAGAAAACATCACCAGCCGACCCGACCAGCCCTCACTCATCTTGCGCCTCTCTTTCATTTCCTGCGCGCGACCACCTTCCTTTATCTCTACACAAACGTACATCTCCATTCTCAAATCATCGACGCGACGTCGTCTCGTCGTCAGATCGATACTCTCCGATGATCTGAGATTCGAGTGCTCAATTTAATCACCGACAAGATGGCAGCCGCCACCGTGGACCTAGGCTACCTATCCACCCACCTCGGCGTCCCAGAGACAACGCTGACCACAGTCACGACCGATCCTACCGCGGAACTTGTCAATAGCGTTCTTGAGGCTGTGGTCGCGAAGGCGCGCGAATATGACACACTGTACTCAGAGAAACTCCAGGTCGACATCGAGCTCGAGAATGCTGTACGAAGCGCCGAGGCGCGTTGCCAGTCATTCAAGGCAACGGCCGACAAAGCCCTGAAGGACGTAGAAGAAATACGACAGAAACTTCAGGATGAAGGTAAGGACCACCGTGAGGGATGCCGTTTGTTCGCGACCAATCTAATCGTTCCTTTCGTTATTTTTAGAATCATCTCGTCAGGCTCTTCAAAACCAGCTTGAGTCTCTGAAGTCCTCCACGACAACATCACAATCGCAACTCGATACTCTGCGCGCGCGCATCACATCACTCGAGACATCCAACCGAGAGACGCTTGCGATCGTTGAGTCGAAGACAACGGCGAACGCAGAGCTTTCGGAGGAGCTTCAGAAACAACACCAGAAAAACCTTAAACTCGGCCAAGAGATTTCGTCTCTACAGCAGTCCGTACAGGCAGCGCAGGCTGCTGCAAACAGTGCGAAGTGGCGTGAGCAGAACATTCAACAAGAACTTGCTCTGGCTCGTAAGAATAATGAATGGTTCGAGAACGAACTCAAGACAAAGAGCGAAGAGGCTCTCAAGCTGCGGAAGGAGAAGGGCGCCCGGATTGCTGAACTGCAGCGTATCAACGACGAAGCCTCTTCGAATATCGAATCACTCACCCGAACAGAGCAACAACTTCGGTCAAGGCTAGATGAAGCGCAAAAGAAGGCTGATGAGGCTCTCTCAAAGGTACAGCAGCTTCAAGAGGCTGCAGCTCGTTCTGAAGATGCCTTTAGACAGGAGCTTGAGTCTTCTAGGCGCTTGGTTGAGCTCAAGGAACAACAAACGGAGACCCACCGGAACAGATTGCGAGAAGTTGAGCAACGGCTTGAGCAGGTGAAGGATGATTGCGAGAACACGGTCCGGAATGCTAATCACAATCTGGAGCAAGAGAAGATGCACCATAGTGAGGCCTTGGAGAGAATTCAAACGCTGGAGCATGATCTGGAAAACGCACGAGTAAATCAGGCTGTCTCTAATTCTCGACCACAGACACCACAGCCTAATGGATCTGTATTTGGCCGCATGGCATCTCCATCAGGTACACCGGCTTCAATCCGGGGCAAGGCCAGCACAATGGCGACACAGACTCTTACTGAACTGATCAAGGCTCAAGCTGAGCTCAGGGAGGAGAAGAGGAAGAATGAAACTCTGAACAATGAAATCGAAGAAATTCTATCCGCACTGGAAGCTAAGGGTCCAGAGCTTGACGAGCTGCAAGCCGAAGCTGAAAGATTGCGAAGGGAGAATATTCAGATGACACAACTTGCAGATGAGAGTTATCAAGAACGCGATCTAGCCAAGAAAGCTGCAAAGAAAGCCGAAGCTGCAGCCAACACAGCCCAAGCTGAGATTAAGATTCTTCGTGCGCAACTCCGGGACCTCAGCAGCCAGATACAGCTCCTCGTTTTCAACATGCATGCACAAGAGAAAGGTCTCGACCAACTCTCTGAAGAGGAGGCCCTACATTTTGCCAGATTGCAGCGAGGAGAGGTTGCGGAGAATGCCTTGGACGATATGTCTGACACCCACCAGTTCATTACCGAGAAATTCGTGGCATTCAAAGATGTCTACGAGTTGCAGTCCAAGAACCAGGAACTTCTCAGAGTCACTCGAGAGCTTGCTGATCAAATGGAGAATGAGGAGGCACTGGCGGCCAAACAGCAGGCAGCGAAGGACCAGCAGGAGGTCATTCATCTTCGTGAGACAGTCTCGCGCCTTCAGGATGAAGTCCGTTCAATGACAACTCGGATGAAGAGTCACATGCAAGAGCGCGATATGTTCCGTCGCCTTCTTCAGCAGAAGGCCAGCGCCGCTGAAGTCATCTCGGCTGCGGACGGCCAAGAATATGCTGGCGGCCATCGCGAGGTGCTTGCCAGCATCGAGCAAACGTCTCAAACGGATGAAAGCACACTGCATACCGCCCTACGAGAACTTCAAAACAACTTTGACTCGTACCGCAATGAGCAGGCGGCCGACCACAAGACAATGAGGGAGCATGTAGATAAGCTGTCTGCGGAGAAGAGCTCTCTGCAAAGCGAGATCGCCAAGATCAGGAGCCAACTCGATCTTGCTGCGGAACGATATAGCATGCTACAGTCAAACTATACCGCGTTGCAGAACGAGAACAAGGAGCTGCAGAAGCGGAACCAGAGTTTTTCGGAAACTGCAGCTAAACAGGATATTCGTACACAACAATTGGCGGCAGATCTTATTGAGGCACGGGCACTAGTTGACAGCATGACCAGCAAGAAAGCAAACCTCGAGGCGGAGAAGGAGCTGTGGAACAGTATTCGCGAACGCCTAAGTCAAGACAACGAGAATCTATCCCAAGAAAAGGCGCGCCTAAACACGCTTCTTACTCAACATCAAACCCTGCTTAATGAGCGAGAACTCCACGAGTCCGAAACTCGACGGAGGTTACAAGGCCAAATTGACTCCCTCGAGACTGAACTGAAAACAACGAAGCGGAAGTTAGCTGAGGAGGTTGAAGAGAGCAAAAAGGTCCAGTTGAGGAAAGAATTTGATGCTCAACAAAACCAATCGCGAATCGATGATCTTGTCACTCAAATCAACAAGCTCAAGCAGGATCTCACGGCAGCACAAACAAGTAAAGACCATCTACAAGCTCGAGTTGACGAGCTCACTGTTGAGGTTCGCAATGCTCATGAGCGTGCTGAACGACTGCAACCTCGGCCGACTCCTAGGCCGGGCACTGGTGGTCCTGCACAGGTCGACGAGGAGACAGAAGCTCAGATCCAGGAGCTCATTAATGAAGTCTCTGATGTCAAGCGTGATCTTGATCTGGCCACCACTCATCTTGAGAGTGCCAAGGCGCAGGTCGAACAATACAAGGACCTTGCTAAGGCAATGGAAGAGGAGCTGACCAGCGTGAACGCGACTCAAGACGAGTATCGTGAGGAAGTTGATGCCGCCCTAGCGGCAAAGGACACGAGAATCAAAGAACTCGAGCAGCGGGTTGAGGACCTGTCGGCTGAGCTTGCCAATACCAATAATGAGCTGTCGTCTATTCGCGATTCTCAAGCTGAGTTCACTCGAAAATTTGAGGACGAGAAGCATATCCTTGACGCCGAAATCGCCCGACTCAAGGATGAAGAAGATCGTTACAAAGAGACAGCCAAGTACCATCATCAAGATCTACGTGCTCAAGCTGAAATTGCCACCAAAGCCCAACAGGATTACGAACAGGAATTAGTTAAGCATGCTGAAGCAGCCAAGGCTCTACAAAGCCTGCGCTCTGAATTCAATCAACTCAAATCCGAGTCAGCTGCCCTGAAAGCGGAGGCTGAATCCGCAAAACATACTCTAGCCGAAAACGAACGATCCTGGACAGACCGCGAAGAGCAGCTTCATCAGGAGATTGGTGAATTGCGAGAGAGACGCAAAGATGCCGATCGACAAAACAAGCTGCTACAGGAGCAGCTCGACAGCGTGTCATCACAAATTTCTGCCATCCAGCAGAGTCGTGCTGCTCTTGCTGATGAGCCTGAAGCTGGTAATTCGTCAGTTGTTGGCGGTGAAGCCGAACGCCTACGGGAACTCAACGCTTATCTGAGCCGTGAGAAGGAGATTCTGGAAGTACAATATGACTTGAAGGTGCAAGAAGCCAAGAGACTTCAACAACAACTCGAGATCAAACACTCTCAACTTGAAGAAGCACAATTGAAGCTTCAACAAGAACGCGCAGCCAGAGCGGACACTAGAACCTCGATTTCACATCAAGACCTCATGAATAAGCTGAACGAGCTCAATTTGATTCGCGAGAGCAACGTGACTCTCCGGAATGAGAACCAGCGAATGCAGGCTCAACTCGCGGAGAAGTCAGCCAAGATTGAAGAGTTGGAAGGCAAGGTACAGCCTCTGGAGGCACGAATTGCAGAGCTTGAGAGTCAGAAGACGTTTGTGGAGGAGGAGATGAAGCAATTGGGCGAGGATCGCGATAGATGGCAGAAGCGAACGGAGGGCATCCTTACGAAGTATGGCCGCGTCGACCCTGCCGAAATGGAGCAGATGAAGCAGACTGTGGCCGATCTCGAGGCCGAAAGAGATGCCCTGAAGCAAGCCGAAGAGCCACTAAAGGTCAAGATCCAGGAGTTGGAGACTACCATTGAAAACGACAGAGCCCAATGGAAGGCAACACGAGAGAAGATCGTAGAGCAAGCCAAGGAACGCAGCCGACAACAATCCGCAAGAATCAGCGAAATGACCGCCCAGAAGGCTACTATCCAAGAACAACTCGACGCCGTTACACAACAGTTCACAACTTGTCAAGCTGAACTGGCTCAAGTCACTCAGGAGAAGGCAGCTCTGGAGGAGAAGGCAAACAATCTAGAGCAACAATTGGCATCTGCTCCTAGCAGCTCTGAAGTCATCCCCGTTCAGCCAACTGCAGACTCTTCCGACCGCGTGGCAGAATTGGAAAAGACACTTGAAGACATTCGCCAACAGCTAACTTCGATGTCTGAACTTAAGTCGGCTGCCGATCAAGAGGTTGCAAATCTCCGCACTGAACTTGCCACTGCGATAGAGGCACGAGACAAGGCACTCGAACAGCTCCAGAACGCCCCAGCCCAGAACGGAGACGCAGTTATGCAAAATGGAGTTGACAACCCCGAGCCGAGCGCTCCTGCGCAAGCTTCGAGCGATGCTGACCGGGTAGCATTGGAAGAGAAACTTGCTGCAGCTGAAGCCAAGGTGGCTGAGTTGGAGGAACAAATCGATGCCAGAGTCAAGGAGTTGACCGCCCAACGGAGCAGTGGCATGCGGGAGCAGCTCAATAACAAGTTGCGCGAAGCTAAGACCAAATTCGAGAAGGATCTCGAGGAGGCAAAGAAAGCAGCTAATGCCGAGCTTGACTTGCGTCTTCAGCAGGAACGGGCTATTTGGGCGGCTGAACAGAATGTCTCTACGCCCACTCCAGGCGCCACAGTATCAACTCCAGCCAAGCAAGAGGCTGCGGACCCTCCACAGACTCCCACGACTGGCTCGACTTCTGTACTCATAGCCGACTTCGCGAAGCTCAACGATAACGAGGTTCGTGAAGTTTTACAGAAGAATGGCACTCTGAAGACCATCTTCTCTAATAACTTGAGGAAGAAGTTGACCGAGGAGACCAAGAAACTTCGCGATGAAGTTGAACAAACTGTCAAGACTGAGTGGGAGACCAAGGTTAGTAGCGCTAAGGAGCAGGCCACCATGATGGAGTCTAAGAAGTCTTCCCTTCGTATCAACATGGCCGAGAACAAGCTCAAGAATGCAACGGCCAAACTCAACATCGTGGAAACGGCGGCAAAAGACACTCCACAGCGTCCTGTTGGCGAGGTCTGGGCTGTCGCCAAGGATGCAAAGGCCCCACCTCCACAGCCTGCTCCTGCTGTATCCCAATCAACAGCATCTCCTGCTGCACCAAGCAGTAAGTTATATAGAGGATATCTTAACGTTATCCTTAAGAAGGTAGAAAGCTAATTTGTTCATAGATACCACCACTCTGCCACCTGCTGGTGCTGGTCTACCCCAGCCAGTGAAACCCGCACAGGCTCCTACATCAACACCTGTTGGCACCGCGTCGCCGTCGGCGAATTTGCCTGCAAACCCTTTCCAGAATGCTACCGCTGCAAGCCAGCCGCCGTTGAATCCCTTCGCAGGAGCACAAACGACGCCACAGAGCCAGCCACAGGCTCAGACTCAGACTCAGCCTCAACCCCAGACCAACGCTCCTCCACGAACCGGCATTCCAGTCCCAGCGAATCGGGGCGGTGCTCAAGCTAGAGGAGGTCGTGCGGGTGTCTATCAACACCCTCGCGGTGGTCGTGGTGGTGGGCAAGGACAAGGACAACGGAATGCGAGCGGCAATCTAAATCCCTCGGCCGAGAACTTCAACCCTGGGAACAAGCGTCCACGAGACTCGGAGGCTGGGACTGCTGGACCCGGTGGTGCCAAGCGACAGCGGGGTGGAGGAGGACCACGGGGAGGTTGAGACAGGCCTCCATCATGCTTTCTAACATGGCATGAAAGGACCCTCGAATCACTTTTTTTGCTTTTTCTATGTGTTATCTAAGCATCGTGGCAACCGACTATTAGGGCCACGCATTGACAGGAGAAAGGTCGGACGGATATGGGAAACATTGGTGGAAAAGTTTACATGCTACGGCTATTTTCCTTGCTTGTACTATGTCTACTAGGTATCAGGGCGATTGCTAAATCAAAACAAAGATACTGTTATCTAATGGCCATAGTTGTCACATTTGCAAATCATGACAGTCTCGGTTTGTTTTGTGTCCCCGTTTGCCCCCTTGCAAGGACCTCAATGCGGCTCTTTCTCAGGGTGACATCCGTGAGTGAAACAGTTGACGTATTGACATCAATTTGGGGAGCCATTTGCGTGCAGCCTCTCACCGCCAGGAATATCTACATTTAGCCAAGAATCGCTATAGAGGTTATAAACAGTCAGGCGGAGCGGGCAAAGACCCCGGGATTGTCCGTCCGGAAGACAATTCAACGGAGGCGGCTGAGAGAGGTGGCAGGTGTCACAAGGGGGGGTGCTGTAAGCCGCGGTGTTTCCCGCTTGGGTGAGGGATGACTTTCTCAGGTCTGACTTGTCGTTCCGGCCCCCATGGCCCATGGGGTGGAAGAGGAGTAAATTACAGCGAATGTGATGGCGGTCGGCGGTTACGCCGTCGCATTGCGTTGAGCCCACGCGGCGGGCTTACCTACTTTACCGACGAAACTGGGCAATCTGGCACGTTGGTTCTCCGCGGAGGTCTTACTGTACCTACTTTAACAGGTCACAGATTGCGATCTGGTCTATTGCGTAGCAGGGCGCGTGTGATTGCGGCATTTAGAGGCATTGTCTACGCTTGGGAACGCCTTGTTCTAAGAACAGGTGTCTTCTGCGTTGTGTTACGTATGTAGGTAGGCACGAGGATCTGGACAGGGAGCCGCATCCCATGGAAAGTGGGGATTCGAGATTGTGAGATGGAGCAGTAGTAGTCCTTTCGAGGACACGTCGTCTGTGGGAGGACATCGCTAGCAGAGTTGAGATGTGGCCAGAAGGGCTCTTCAATGGAGAACAGTAGGTTTCACTCCGTGCAAGTGAGTGTTTTGAGGACAAGGTCGACAGGACATCTATCAACCGCGCTGAGCCGGAGGTTATCAAGATTCCAGAGGAGTAAGTCCTATACTTTTAGAACCTCAGGTTCCAGAGAGGCACACCAAAGTCAACAGGTGCATGTACGATTTATCCGACACCAACCGGCCGGACATGATAGCTGATGGATGATGGGTGTTGACGGATGCCAGGGGTTTGCAGAAGTGTGTGTAGTGTCTCCGGCGCTTTGGGCATGTTATAAGCGTAAACTCCACACCAGCGGCGCTGGCAGGGATCACTCGGCCGGCTGGGGAAATGAAACCGAGACCAGGGGGGATACGTTTTAGTTTCCCACAAGCAGCATTCAGCAAGTGTGAGTCATATTTCTCAATTGCGCTACTGGTTTCCCTTCCTCGAAGATATCCATCCATTGCGGCGTCTTCAATTGGGCGCTTGGATTGGCTGTGAGGATTCTTTGAAGCCCGTGGACATTGCCGTGTCCGTATCGTATCCGTAGCTCGAACGGCATTTTGTGGGGTGCGAGACTGGCTAATCATCATCATCGAG